CCTGTACCAGTGTGACCCCAGTGTAAGTACTGTAATAAGTCAATGACTGATAATTCATTGAGGTATAAGATGTATGCAAACTCAACATAGAAATTATAGGCTGCTTGATTGTAAGCACTTCCAGTATAATGTTAAAAGTAAGAGCGTACATAGTAAATGTTGTTGTAAATTAGCAAAAGTAGGTTATGTATGTATTTTTTTTTCTATTTTTAGGGAGCATATTTTGCTTGGAAGGCAACAGCAATGGGAAAGAACTATGTTAATGGAAAAACATTTTTAGAGAAAAGGTAATGTCACAAATGTCACTTTTTGGATAATATTTCATTGTACAGGTAGGGAAGTTACAAAAGTAACATTAGTATACATTTAGAGGGCAAAACATCATTTGTTGTTCCAGTGTCCTGTAATACATGTATGTGAAATACAGAATGAAAGTGATGTTTGTCCAGACAAAATACAATATTCCCCTTCATTCTGTATTTTTTTTTCAAGTTTTTCAGCACACATGTACAGAACATGTATACAGCACACTTATAAAGAGTAAATGTTACAAGAATTAAAATATTTATAATGTTTACAGGTACAGTGATAACCTAGAATTGGAAGATGCAGTCCACACAGCCATTTTGACCTTGAAAGAAAGTTTTGAAGGTCAAATGACAGAAGACAACATAGAAATAGGAATTTGTAATAAAGACGGATTCCGACGTTTAACTCCACCAGAGGTCAAGGACTACCTAGCCTCAGTACAGTGACACTCTCATCCTCATCATCTTATATAGTGCTACTCATTAAATGTTACAGAACAAAACTATTAAAATCTTTTGTATAAAACCAATTGCTTTCTTTTTTCCTCACACTTTTTAGTGGAATTTAAATACAGGTGATCATTTGTTAATTATTGATGCAAAATTCATGTGATGCATTCCAAATTGATTAAAGAGTTTATGCATCCTGATGTTATGGTATTAAATTTACTTTTTTGAAATTTGCTGGTATTCATTTTCAAATTGTTTTAGTGGCATAGTTGGGATACTGAAGCATAGGATTATCAACCCAGTTTAGGCATCATAGGGTCTTTGAGTACATGGGCATAGAATTATCAGACTTTGTCAGTTAATGCATCTTGATTCATCAAAGTAATTATAATAATTTGCCTTGACCTAGTTTTTATCCTTGACCTACTTTTTATCATCAAGGATAATAAGATGCTTAAAAAATCAATTTCAGTCAGAGAGGTGTATCGATTTAAGAGAAGGGCACAGTGATGTGCCTTCTTTTGGAATCTCAAGATTTACTAGGATACTATAAAAGTGGTTTAGTCAAAAAATGTTTCAGTTTGTGGTTGACTCACTTGGGTCCTCTGAATGTGACAACCAAAATGTAGGTCACCTTGACATACTTTTAAGAATTTCATAGCTTTGTTTACATATTACAAAAAAATAAGAATCATCATACTGTGTGGGTCATTATGGCCAATTATTTTAATTTCAAAGCTTTATCTTAATATTAACAATACGTAGAGATTACAAGTGAAAGTGTTGTACAATTTCTGAAAGAGCTTTCCTCTTCCCTTGGTCCTGTTTTGTTTGGACAACCTAGTGTATGGAATTGTGTTCTGGATAGGTGAGGAGGATGAACAAATGATTTCACTACTTCTCAAGTTTTACTTAAAGTCAACCTTTCCATTAATAACCATTATCAGTTCAGTCCCTCACTATCCTCCCATCCCCTGTCTGTACCTTCACTGTTAACAGTAAAGACTCCACTGCACATGTACCAATATCATCATCACTAACATTTTTATAAATACCCCAACTCTCTACCACCAAGACAACTTCACCATTCTCTCATTTCTGTCTGATTTTTATAACTATCAACTACATGTATTTCATTCCATTACACAACATCAATTCTTGTTCCCCTGGCATGTCCATTACTTTCCTAGCAATGTCTTATAGGCCAAACACTCAGTGCATCAAAAAAGACCAACAATCAATAACATATTAGTTTTTATCATTTAATTTCAATTCTACCAATAAATAAACACTCACTTTTCACACTTGATTTAGATGTGTAACAATTTCACACAATAAAATAATTTATCTCAATTCATATTTAACATCCTAACAAAAAAAAAAACAACAAACCTACAATCAACCCCATTCACCAGTATAAAGAACTTGTTTGTTACCATAAAAAGAAATTGATTTCATCTTTCCTAAAATGCAAGCATCAATAAATCATGTAAATTGCAGGTCTACCCAAAAATCACATTGTGACCAATTTTCAAATTCACTAAACACATAGACAAACAAGAGGCCCATGGGCCACAACGCTCACCTGAGAAGCTTTGACCATTCTGTTCTTTAAGATTTCCCCCTTGTAATACATATTGTGACCCCACCCTACCCCACTAAAACATTGACAAAAAAAAGATTGTCAAATATATTTCTTCTTTGATTCATCCATTTGTTCCCAGCATATATGTACTGGTGCATTATAGTTCTTTGAAAAAAAAAAATGCTTCCAAACTTGACATTTAAACATATCATGTAAATATATTATGTATATTTGATTCATAACAAGAAAAATCATTCATTAGGAAAAGGATCCTGCATACAAATATATTATGTATATTTGATTCACAACAAAAAAAATCATTCATTAAGAAAATGATCCTGCATACAAATATTGAAAGGAAATACAGTGGACCTTCAGATATCCGGATGCTTCAGTATCCGGACAATTTTTCATCGGAACAGAATTTTTTAACGTTATTTTGTCTTGATTAACTGGTAATTCAGATATCCAGTCACTTCATATATCTGGACAAATTGACAAGGAACCAGAGCGTCCGGATAAATGAGGATCCACTGTAAACTTGGAGATATAGCAGATTACAATTCTCTGATTTTCAAAAATATTCTCAAAGTTTTTCAAAGATTCAAAATTTTATGTGAAGGTATATAATAAGCACCAAATGTTTGGCAAAATGCACCAACAAGCCAATATTAACAAATTAAACAACATTATTCATACAAAGTTGTGTGTATCCTGTATACATGTATATTAGTTTTGTTGTTATTTTGATATACTAATTAACTTGTAATTGGGAAGATCCTAACATAAGCATTAAGCCTTGTGCCTACATTTTTGTACATGATATGCAAATATAGTATACACAGTATACAAAGAGCTTACCACTAACAGAATACTCATTCTACTCTGACTTGTTATCAAAATTCATGTTTTTGCTAACACAGTAATAACTGCTGTGAAGCCTTGGTCTTGGCAATTACCTTTAAAATTTATATACATGTATAGCAAATGGCTTAAATCTGGAAATGTGTTTCCTATAACCACAACAAAATGTACCTGCTTTGAAGTGTTAATGACCTGCATGTACACATACAAATACACCAGACTCGACTGTTAATCTCCTTAAATATAACCACACTTTTTTTTTACTACTTCTATGGTCATTTTCTCTACACATGCTCTAATTTCACAACTTGATAGCAGGAATTCCATCCACACTAAATGAATCATTTAAATGAGATAAATTTATCTTTCACAAGAGATCATGAATTCTTCAGAGGCATCTTCATTTTTGCAAGCTTTAAGTTTTTTAATTTGAGTTTTTCTTTCCGTTGTTCACTTTTTCCTCCCCCCTGAGACGTGAACTCAACATTTATTTTACGTCCAGCCAATGTTGTATGGTGCAACCTTAAGGCTATCTGAAAAAGTGTAAAAAAGTTGGATAAATCAAATACCTATATCATTTTTTTAATTACCGGTATTGAATGCATTTTTCTTCTATATAGAGTTGAACTTCGTTATCTCGAACTCTAGTATCTCGAATACCATGGGTATGTTGAAGTGAGTTGGAAGTCCAAACCACATATTTTTTAAGTATTTAACCTTCGATATCTCGAATCCTTGGATATCTTGAAGTTTTTTCTCAGTTCCATCAGGTTCAAGATAGCGAAGTTTGACTGTATATGTAACTGCAAAAACTTAAAAATAAGAGGAAAACTGTTTGTTCCACTTATATGATAACCATTACCTTTTTGATTGTATCAGGTTAAATTGTATGATATTTCCAGAATTTTAGATATTTTTAGACCTCCAGCCTAGGTACCCTATACTTCTAGCCCAGGTACCCTATACTTCCAGCCCCGGTACCCTATACCTCTAGCCCAGGTACCCTATACTTCTAGCCCAGGTAACCTATACCCTCAGTCCAGGTACCCTATACTTCTAGCCCAGGTACCCTATACCTCTAGCCCAGGTACCCTATCCTTCTAGCCCAGGTACACTATACTTCCAGTCCAGGTACCCTATACCTTCAGCCCAGGTCAGGGATTTATCTAGCTATTTTGTTTTACTACCGTTTTATATGTAAAGGGGAAAAATGAGAGCCGCATGCCTAGGGGGGTCCGGGGGCATGCCCCCCCGGAAAATTTTTAAATAAATGGAGCAAAATCCTGCATTCTTAGAGCTTCTGAAGGCCATTTGTAGACCTTTACAAAGGCCACAAAAACTTCACTTTTTAGACAAAATATTAATTAACAAAAAAAAAAAAAAATTAAACCAGGTCAATACTTCATTCAATTCTTTTCTCTCAATATCTATCACAAATCAATTCTGTTTTTCATGTTTCACTACTAACATTGTTTTTGTTGTTACTCCATTCTTCCGATCCATAGTGATATAAGCTCCGTCTTACTCATCTACACTTTTCTTTTTAACTCTGCAATCCAGACGTATATTTTGTCATCATGGACATGGCACATGTTTACCGATCAATATCAAATAGAAGCTTGAATATTCTACTCTCTCTTTTAAAAGCGTTTGAATGACTAGGATGGTAAATTAGGATATGCTGTTAAACTTCAATTGGACAAAAACGGAAAATTTCAATACGATGTTTTAAATATTCTCTGTTTAATCAGAGAATTTTCTATCTGAAAAGGGGAATTTTTCACTTTTTTCAAGAGGGGAAAGGTACCGTTTACCGGTAGTAAAAACAGCCTTGATAAATCCCTGCAGGTACTCTATACTTCTAACCCAGGTAACCTATACTTCAAGCCCAGACACCCTATACTTCTAGCCCAGGTACCCTATACTTCTAGCCCAGGTACCCTATACCTCTAGCCCAGGTACCCCACACTTCTAGTCCAGGTACACTATACTTCTAGCCCAGGTACCCTATACTTCTAGCCCAAGTACCCTATACTTCTAGCCCAAGTACCCTATACTTCTAGCCCAGGTACCCTATACTTCTAGCCCAGGTCCCTATACTTCTAGCCCAGGTACCCTATACCTCTAGCCCAGGTACACTATACTTCTAGCCCAGGTAACCTATACCCTCAGCCCAGGTACCCTATACTTCTAGCCCAGGTACCCTATACCTCCAGCCCAGATACACTATACTTCTAGCCCAGGTACCCTATACTTCCAACCCAGGTACCATATACTTCTAGCCCAGGTACCCTATACCTCCAGCCCAGGTACCCTACACTTCCAACCCAGGTACCCTATACCTCCAGCCCAGGTACACTATACTTCTAGCCCAGGTACCCTATACTTCCAGCCCAGGTACCATATACTTCTAGCCCAGGTACCCTATACCTCCAGCCCAGGTACCCTACACTTCCAACCCAGGTACACTATACTTCCACCCCAGGTACCCTATACTTCTAGCCTAGGTACCCTATACCTCCAGCCAAGGTACACTATACTTCTAGCCCGGGTACCCTATACTTCCAGCCCAGGTACCCTATACTTCTTGCCCAGGTACCCTATACTTCCAGCCCAGGTACACTAACTTCCAAGATACCCTATACTCACTCCATGGCTTATCCTGTCTTTGAGTTCAACATATGCAAACCCTTTACTCTTCCCAGTTCCCTTCTCTTTTGGAATCCTTATAGCTTTCACACCACCTAAAAATCAAATACTTACAATAAATGACCAAATTATACAATTTTTTTTTGTAATACTATTGGCTAATACTTTCAGATAAGACCAGTGGGCAAGCAATACATGTATACCATTTGAATTTCTTGATTATTAGTTTTAATAGTTCTGAAAGATAGATAGGTAAATTTTGTAGATTTAATATGAAGCTGCATAAATAAACTGTTCACTTCATTCATTTACATCAAAGCCTATCTTAAAACCATCTGAAATATTGATGCTTAATTCATTCAAATATTCACAAAGAAAATCCTGATTTCACTGTTTTGCCTCTTCTCCAAAAAGAGAAAGAATATTAGAATCAAATGTAATTTTTTTTTATATTTAATAGGTAAGAAAAGCACACAAGAAGCTGAGTCTTAGCACACCTGTTTTCCTGAAATGTTCCTCTAGCTGTTCTTTGGTTATAGTGTATGGGAGATTACCGACAAACAAGACATACTTCTGGGGCATGAGTTTGGACGGACTCGGAGCTGGGCTTTCTCCGGCTTCTGATTCGGTTTTCGGTTCGGTTTTGACTGGCTTGGTTTTGTTGATCTTATTGTTCTTTTCGTCACTGACTGGTTTCTTTTTGGCCCTGGTATGGTTGACTGCCCTTGGTTTACTGTTGTTTTCCTGGGTGATTATTTTGGTTTCTGTGTATAATGATGGTCTAACAGTAAGGGTGCTTTTCCTCAAACCTGTAAAAGAAAACTCTCTCTGTAAAAAAGGTAAACACAGATGTATACCTCTCTTTTGCTTTTAGGCTAAATTTAAAAGGTGGGTACTAAACTCTGTATTTAATACATGTATATTGAGGCATTATTTCAGCTTTGTAATTATAAAGGATATTTATATGTGCAAATTGTGGCTAAACACTTGTAAACAAGTTCTAAATAAACATGTTTAAGTCTGGTTTATTTTGAAAAAAGATGCATTCCACTGACTGCATACATCTTGTCAGAACTGTGGCTTGGTACAAAACATCAACTTTTGCTTTTTTGTGACATTTTCATGGTCACAGTTCACTAGGAAAAGTTTTGCTAACCCTCACCCGCATCTTTAGACATTTCTATTTTTGTACCTTTTTTGACATTTTTATTTTTTGTACCTTCTTTATTTGACATTCTTTTTTGTATTTTCTCTTCCTGACATGGTGACATTACTATTTTTTGTACCTTCTCTTTTCTTGTCTTTCTTTCTCTGTTCACTCCACCAAGACAACCTTCGCTCCTTTCTGTTAGTGCCTGCATTCTTGTTCTCTGACATACTGCTACAAATTTGAAAAATATTAATGCATTCTTAAACAGTAACTTATAAATTATATCATGCACTATTTTTATGCTTATATAATTCATTTAAATTTTATTATACCTAACAATAAAATACTTGTTTATATGTCAAGCAAAGATGTATCAAGAAAAAATTTGCATGGTTATCTAGTTTTACAAGATACACTTGTGGTGAGTGTAGTGGCCGGTGTGAAGCAGCCCTTGAACAACAACACTCACCTGGGCAAAGAGAAAATTCAAACTCTGCACATTGATGCAGATGATTTTTATTCTGTAGTAACCTGTGGACTCGCAATCCATTGCAAATTTTATCTTGTTGCAAACCTGTGACCATGGTAAAAACAAAAGTTCAACACAAAACATAAACTCACCTAGTAGATATAATTTCAACAATATTTTATTATGAATACTCATAAAAGGATTGGACAAAAGGCACTGCCTATACAAGTCCTCTCTAGTTCATCTTAAAGATTTAAAAAAAAATTTTAACAAATTGAACAAAATGGACTCTTATGTCTACATACATGCACTTCTACACGAAACATAGAAGAAAGAAATGTTTTATCGATAGGAATGCTGCCATTAATGTGTATAAACCATCAGCTTAATATAAACTATCAGTATAATATAAACTATCAGTGTAAATTGTTCATTTGTCCAAGAAGTGTGCCTAAATTAAGTTTTGTCCATTGTTGTTAGGGAAAGGGGTAAATCAACACCAATTAATTTGAATTTCAAAAGGACTTGACAACATAGTTTCTGTCAAGCTGTGTCATTTTATTACAAATTATGGAATTCAATCTGGTACATGTACTGTAATGAAGTATCAAGAAATGTAAATTTTACCCCCTGTTGAATTGATGGCTATAACTTAAAGGAGAATAAGATGTAAATGAAGAGATTGTAAGTACGTATTGAAATTCTAGTTAGTTAAAGTACATGTTTATTGTCAATGTACTTTTAGTTGTGTTTTTCCTAATACATGGAATCAAATTTTTCTTGTCACAAGAGGGGTTTAAATATAAGCAATGATAAGCATTAAACAATGTCAATCACCCCACCTAAAGTTTTCTTTCATGTACTTTAAGAGTATATAAGAAATTATGTGAATAATATTAACTGCAGAAATCAAGATGACCAAAAAAAATACCAAAGTTTATAGATTTCTTAAAAGCTGATAACGATTTAGTACTAAAGGGTGTTCAGTAATGAAGAGAAAAAAAAATCAATGGTATTGGAGAATTCTGAAAATTTGTCCTTTATTTTAGCATCTAGAGACCATCTTTCTGATAATTTAGATAGTGCAGCCAAAAACAAAATTGGAACTGCAACATAATTACATCATACATGTCTAGGATTAAAAATCATTTATAACGTCTAGCTGGTACAAAAGTGCTTTTGTTTCTTAGTTTCCAGTGATTAATGAATTACATCTTTTTACCACAGCACTCTCTGATATTTGTAGCAATTTATACTTTAATCAAAAAAAAAAAAATGTTGGTCCCCAATTACCTTCGTGCAATTTTTTAAATAATCAATTATCCTGACTTAGATATCATTTTAATTGCATTTTTGAAAATATCTTGAAGTATATGCTTTTATGCTCGAATGTACTTTAAAAATAAATTTCACAGTATTACATGATAAAAGTTATGGATATTTAGGGTAAGAGATTTTTAAGTCTTAATAAGGGGATGGAATACCTCCATACTTTGAGGTTAGGTGTCACAAAGGACAACACACAATGACAAAGCTGATATAAATATGATTTGGGCATGAAAGACCCTAAGTATAATCTTTGTTGGAATATACCTTAATTTTCTTCTTTACAAAAAAAAAAGATTAATTTTTGTGAAAAAAAATCTAAAATATTTAGTTTAGGCTCAGATTGGAATTCTGCGTATCCTATTCCTATTTGGGGAAAAAAATCTTAAAATATGTTATATATACCTACTGCAATTTATATAAAATATGTTCATGGTTTGATTTTTGGTTTTTAACTCGAGCAATTGCTGTTGACTGTTGTCGAGCGAGTACAACTCTTTTTCATTGAACATGTTGATAAAATGAAAGTGGTTATTTATCGACACATTTTCGCAGGATTGAACAAATCCAAGTCATACCTTTACCAAGCTCATATACAAGGCAAACTAATAACAAATTCTTTTAAACCAAAGTCGCATTTCCAAGTGTCTCTCTTCCGACAGATAGCAAAGCGTGTCGTGGAACATGGAAAACGTGAGAGGACTTCCGAAAGGGGATTGACTAATAACACGAAAACTGTCCAGTGCTCTTATTGGTAGAGATTGCTTGAAATTTAGGTGAAAATAAAATCAAAACATGTTCTCCTTTTGTACCATAGGCGCTTGAAACACGATGGTGTATTTTTTTTTTATACATTTAAATACAAAAACAAATATTTTATTGGCACAAACACTAGGGTTAGAGGATCTCTCAGATCTTTTTTTTTTTTTTTGAGTAAATCAACATATGGACTTGTTTTTCTTGAGTATACTTTCTTAAAGAAATAAAGTTTTTCTGAACTAAAGATTTTTGATGTGTGCTCCTGACTGCACTGATCAATGATTCTTTGTTTAATGTTTGGTAAAAGATGTTGGATGGAACCTGTATATTTTGCAATGTTTGAGAATCCAAAAGTATCTAGAATAGAAAATAATTTAAAATTTACAGGCCTATGCGATATTTTTTTTAATGGTAATTTAAGTGTAAACGTCCCTTTTCTATTGTAATTCCATTGTAAAGGACTTAGGTAATTTGAAAAATGTGTGCGTTTTTTTTTTTTTTTTTTTTAGTTTTTTCTTTGAATTTTTGTAGAGATCGAAGTATAAATACAAAGAACAGTACTTATAATCAAGTTCATAAATCCATTGCTCTACTGTAAAAAAAAAATAACTTGACTGAAAGCAGATCATAATTTAACATTAGAAGTGGGGTCAGGAGGCATAAAGGAGTAAGTATCTTCTGTCGGCTGACCATACCTGCTATGTACTCCTTACCCAGATAGCATGACTCCGTTGGGCCAACGTTGGTTTTTGGTTGTATGGTTGGTAGAGTGTTGGCGTTGGGGAACAGATGTAGGCCCAACGTTGGTCCAACGTTCATTTACGTTGGCATGAAAGCATGTTGGCCCAACGTTGGTCCAACGTTCATTTGCGTTGGCATGAAACTACTCCTTGTCATCATCAAACGGAAAAAATCTGTAGATAATTCAGAAGAAATAAAAATGGCATAACAATGTGCATGAAATAAATGTTGACAATATAATGATGCATTGCTCTGTGTTGGGTGTGCTGGACTGAACTGGAGTTAGGTCCAATAGTAGGAATATTGGGATTACCACATGTACAGGTAGCCTGTAATGTTTGAGATGAAATGCTGGTCCAACGTTGAGTTGCGAAAAGTATTCATCAATTTAGATTTATCTATTGTAAATCGATGGTAATGATATAAGCAACTCATTATAAACATGTGATCTATATTATATATTGCATGGAAAATATGAGACAATCCTTATAAGTCTGTGAATTACATATAGTAATTTTGTATCTTGGTAGATTCTATATTTAGCATCATTGAATCATGCAAATTTAAAGTGCTGTGTTTTGGGCTCCAAAATAAATAGGTCACTGGTGAAATTCACTGGCTCGGCAGGTGACTCATAGGTCTCCAAGGAAACCGTCATCTTAATCAGTCTTTTTTTAACAATGCAAAGCGTATGTGTCTGTTTAAGTGAACGCAAGAATTTTAATCCTTTCAATGTAAGTATAGCTTTTGTTTTTGGTATTGAAATAATTAATAATGTGAAATGCACAACATTGTAATGGCCAGCATGTAGGCTTTCAAATTATTGGTACCGGGTAGCTGATTAAACAGTTGTAATTGATGACGATCTTAACTTTTAAGGAAAACAATAAAATTGAATCACCAAAATGTATGTATTTGTTATTAATAATTAATAATGTGAAATTCAATCTTAAGAATTGCTTTAAAAATTTGTGTGATGCTGATGAACATTTGAAAATACTATTTAAATTGATGACCCTGGGGGTCATGATATTGAACAATCTGATTTATATGTGTTGGAATGAAAAGAATTAACAGAAAAAGTGATAAGTGATTCAAATATGACCTTCCAAAACTTTACAATATTGAAGACTCTTATATTATTTAGTAGTGGACATAGTGATGTGGAATGTACTTAGAAACCTTGAACTTTCTACCTATTCCTTCTTTTAGTTACATTCCATGGAATACTTTAGTGAAAGTGGCTATATTGTGAACATTTTAGTCAATAAAATTAATTGTGTCATCAGAAATTAATTTTGTAAGACATTTGTATTGATTGTTTGATATTTCAAGAAACAGCTTTGTATCAACGTGTCATCAACTTATTTGTCAATTGCATGCTTGTCTTGTTCACAAAATATTGCGTTGGCGTTGGTATGTTGGAATAACGTTGTACCAACGTTGACAAATAAACAAACAGTATTGTACCAACATAGGCCCAACATGTTGGGCCAACGGCGCGCCAATGAGCAGTAGGACATTGGGCCAACGTAAATTGCCAACATTGGCCCAACATAACCAACATTGTTGGGCCAACGTTGGGCCAATGTCCTCATGCTATCTGGGTATCATCATCAAACGGATAAATAACAATGTGCATGAACAAGAGGCCTATGGACATGCACATCGCTTACCTGAACCAGGTATTAGTTTAGTCTCGAAAAGGTTAATTACAGGTGACCACAAATACCCCGGAGAGATTGACATTTGAATTTACCCTTACTTCTTTGGATGTTTCTTTTACTAATCATGGCTTAAGATTTTTTCCGTCTTCTTGTTGCCCAGCCTTTGTATTACTTCGGTGTCCTTGACATTTTATATGAATCATAATGCATTGATATATTAATTTTTTTAATCATAAATCTGGTGAGCTAAAAAGTCAATAAACATCAGAAATAATTGATGTTTGCTTTATCAACTTAAGTGTGGTGAGACTTATAATTAATAATTAACAATCGCACTGAATGCTTCATTACTTCGACATTTTTCTCATTTATATAAATTTAATCATAAATCATGGTTTATGAATAAGTGTGGTGAGACTTATAATTATTAATTCCCATTCAATGATCCCACACACAAAGAATAAGTTTGGCCAAGAACGTATAAATGTACATACACCCCTGGTTAAGACTTATCTAGAATCTACCTCGATAAATTAGAATTTAGAATATCTGGATCCTCATGTTCTAAATTTTTCAAGATAAATTACTTGCATAGGAGCTTGGTTCATTTCTCCGTCTTTCAATCAAGTTAAATATCTTAATTTCTCGTTTCATTCTTTTTTATCGATGTTTAGAAAAGGTACATATTTAACATTTTAAATAGACTTGAACTATATTTTATATATTATATTGTAAATGGTGCTATATTTTATATATTATATTGTAAATGGTATAAAGCAACAATACATATATACACATAAGAGCACAAATATCACATTAAAGTTTCCCCCACACAAGTGTAACCAAAGACATTGATAAACAAGAAAAGAAAGAAATAAAAGACAAAACATTTGAGCAACACACAAAAAAATAAAAGAGTCGAACAACAAGTATATATGCACACAAACAAGGAGGAAAGGTTAAGAAAGCACAATATAAAAAAACAAAATAATAAATAAATAAATAATAACTTTTTAAAACTGAAAATTAGTATGAGGCATAGAAGTCTGAAGTCTGCAGGAGCTGCATTTACAATTTATTTCTCCGCACCAAGTTGAAATGTAATTTGAAAATTGATTATATGAGGAGAATTGCCTGGCTTCTTTGGGTAAAGAGTTCCAGAGCTTTGCTGCCTCATACCTAAATGATATAGATAAAGTATACTTTTTAAATGTAAACTGTATTTTCTTTACACATCTTGTGCATCCTCGAAAATAGTAAACTGATATGTAAATATAAGAGAAAAAATTTTATTCTATGTACAGTCAGGTTGGACATTTTAAGCAAATGTTGCGTTAATTAGTTGTATCATTATCTTAGTTGCATCGGAATTCATCGAAATTTATCATTACAAATCACGCTACGCCGGTGATGTGGCATGCGAACTGGAAGATGAAGTTTTCCTTATTTTGGCTCGCTATTGTGGTATGCATTCTATAAAGTAATTGATTTATAAAGTATGACAACCTTATCTCGATTGTCAGTAAAGTAACTCTTTTTCCGGTTGTATTTTCTGCATAAATATGATCGTCAACCACAGAGTGACAGTAACGTTGAAAAGTTCGAATTTACTCTATTTATTGACGATATCGAATCACTTGTAGTTGTATGTCTGTTTTGAAATTAAGTTATAAAAACTAAAGAATTATTATTATTATTATATGTGTATGAGTTTGGATTATCTCGCTATTGTGATATGATATTTTCAGCATGCATTTGGTGACACGTGTGATCTTTTGATAAATTCTGAAGAGATTACAGGAGATTAGTAAAATATTTGATGGGTTTAAAATATCTTTCAGGAAATTATATGTAGTGAAAACCACTAGTTATAATCATCTGACTGTGTCTCGAGACAAGCCCTCACTGGGTACATACAATGAAGCGCATAAGTCTTTCAGCTTAAATTATATGTAGTGAAAACCACCAATCAAATTGCATGACGGTATAATCATCTGACTGTGTTTTGCTAACTCCAATAAACATGATAAAATCATAATTATGTACAGATTCGTTGCAATGCGTGTTTTACTCATATATAGTTTTTTCTTATTTAAAAATGGGTACATAAGACACTTTATCATTTTAATGATAGAACATGAACGTTTCATCCAATTGGAAAATTTTACCACTAATGCGCTAAAAAAAAATGATATAAATTATAAATTCTTTTTTTTCAATTTCTCTAGATTCCTTATTTTTTTGCGAGTATTTATTATTGCTAAATGGTGCTTTAGCATCAAATTGTTAGAACAATAATTTGTGAGTGACAGTTGATAAAGAGATTTGACATTGCTTTCAGCACCATAAAAATAATAACGAGTTATTTTATTTGCCAGGGTTTCTAGCGAGCACTGCTCGCCTAGCAAGCTCCATAGACATGTGCGGAAGGGAGAAATTCAAGTTGAAATCTACATACTGCTCAAAGAAATTTTTATGAGTCCATGTGAAAAAAATACCAAACTCCCAACAGTCATTTGCAGATTGCATAGCAAGATTGTGGCTTAGGCATATAAGCAACAACTTACTTCAACAAAATACAAAGTTTAACTAGAATTGTATGCAATTTCCAGGCTAAAAAACAATTGTTTGCATTGGATGTAAACATAACTTTGTATGTGACATCATATTTTCGTCATTTAAATGGCTCTGGAATTTCCAACTTTGTCTGAAAGATCGGAGGAGCTTGGAAACTCGATCCCAATGCGTGGGGAATAGTAAAGACAGGCTAACAGAGACTAAACATTGAACCTTTAAACACACAATGCATAATAATATTTAATAATAACAATAATTACATGTGTGTTATTAAAAGAAAACTGCTCTCTCTCATGGGTGGACATATAAACCTTATGACTTGTTGGATCCAAGATTTTTCCCTATAAACTAGGGATGTTGTAAAATAGTTGTTGTATGGATTCCCTCATTCCACTTTCCTTGAAAAAATTCCCTGAACAAAAAAATTAGTGAACAAAAAAAGGGAAATTTTGAAAAAACAAAATCAGTTCCTTACCTCCTTCCTTTGTGTGATCATCCCCCTTCCCCTCTCATTAAACAATTCCAAACATAGTTTTTTTTTAAGGTTGAATCTAGCAGATAATCTCTGTGCATATTTTTTTTGTGCTAAATATGGACATTATGCAACAGATCCATACTTAATATATTGCTATATTTCTCCTTCACAGAGTCTTCTTCCATTGTATCTTGGGGCAAAAGAGAATCTCATTCAAGAAATAGATGATCTCAAAGAGTTTAAAAAGTACATCAAAACTAAACCTAATGTGCTGGTTGTGTTTGCTAAAAATAGTAAGTATTCAAGTATGCATAACTGCATACATGTATTTTTTTTTTCAAATATGCATTAGATATCAGCATCTGATTTTTTAGGCTGAGTTATATCCGTTTGTCAGCATCTGATTTTTTAGGCTGAGTTATATCCATTTGTTATGTTCATGTGTTGTGTAACTATATTTACTTATGAACAAATAGCATTTTAATTTAAAAGAAACATTTATTTGTTACATAGTGTAATTTTTGGATGCTAATGTAAAAAAAAAATATGGATAAGCCAGTTAAGAATTAGAAACTCAATATTCTGTAAATTTCTCTCTGAAATGTTGAAAGGAGAGAAATACTGTGAACCAACGTTTATTCGTGCGCAAGAAATTTTCGAGAGGTTCACAGGAGCCTCTTCATTGTGAGTATTTCTCACTGCGAACCGGTCCTTAAAGTTTCTGTGTCTATTCCAACAGATTAAATAAAGGCTTGATCGGGAAAATGAATCATCGCAAAATAGTTTCCCTGAAGTAAATCGCAAAATATTTAATTAAGTTGTCGTGAATAAAAGTTGGTTCACAGTAGCTAAAAATTTATTATCCGTCAGTAGATGCTTAATCTATCAAGTGTTTAATAAAGATGGTGAATTTCACATCCACTTGAATACTGTAAACCAACTTTTATTCGCGTGCGAGAAATTTTCGCGAAGTTCGCGAGAGCCTCGTCATCGCGAATATTTATCGCCGCGAAACGGTCCTTAAAGTGTATGTCTCTATTTAAAATAGATCCAAAAAGGCTTGGTCGCGAAAATTAATCGTCACGAATTAGTTTATTCCTGGCAAATCGCGAAATAAAGTCGTCGCGAATAAAAGTTGGTTTACAGTACACGAAGAGTGAGATTGAGAGTGAGAGTTCATCGAAGGTAGCTTGGTTCCGTATAGTTGATAGCTGTCTTATTTTGTTCAAAAAGACTTCTGATAAACAGGATAAAGATCATGCCCTCCTGTAACAATGAGAGAGAGAGAGAGAGAAAGAGAGAGAGAGAGGAGTCTGTCTGATATCTGACTTAGTAAACCTATACTTCTAAAGATAAGAGCCTCTGCAAATACCTTAAGGCACCAAGTCAAAAATATTTAGCCATGAATAACTAGTATTCTGTAGTGACCCACATTTTATTACTGATAGAATTAGACCATTAACTTGGTTATCAGTTGAACAAGGTGAAAATTAAATTTTTAAATCATATGTTCAATAATTATTTATTGTCAAGAAGAAGATAAATAAGCGATTTATCTTCACTCTCTCCTCCATGCATGATAGATAAAAGAAAACTCGTCGAAGATACATAAATAGTGGCATAACTGCTGGCATAAACTGTATTTATATGAATTACACATTGGATTCATTTAGTGTAGTATAGATGGGAACCGGGACAATTCTCTTGTTAGGGGATCAAAATATGCTCAAAATATGCAAATGTTATCAAAGGGTAAAGGTCAAGTTGTTGATAAGTTATTAAGGTCTTGAGAAATGTGAATCTGGTTGTAACATTCTGATAAAGATATATGCATTCAGAGCTTTATCAGTGAATACAGAACAAAAACTTATTCTGTTATTCTGATGTTACCTGTATAGACCAAAGTCTTTGGGATGTAATTCTCTGTAGTGAAAACTGGTACTGATTTCTAGTCAGTACATGTATCAAGTAACAGTCTTCTTACCCTACCTATTAAATAGAATATACTGTATTTTTACTGAAAATATCTGCTTGTCAGACTCTGGACTCCAGTCTGTCAGAGGAGTATATCCAAAGCTTAAATGTAAAAGTTTTCCTTCTCAGTGTCTGTAACACTTGAGGATACCCATCTCCTATCCATGACTCCTATAAAACTCAATATAATTCAATGAGATTTTCACAGTAAAGAAAGCCCAGACAGCTCTATATCTTATAATTGATAAATAATTTATTTTAGAAATTCAATTTTTCCAGAAAATTCAATGACAGTACAATGTATTTGTTTACAGGTAAAGCTCTCTCACAGTATAGACGGACATTCAGTGAAGTCTCTCAAGAGATGAAGGGCAAGGCCTCACTAGTCATTGTGGACTGTGGGTAAGTGAAAACAAGAGTTTGCTGAAAATTTTACCTCATATAAACCAAAGACTCAAGTGATGTTTCTTATTAATTAAAAAACTGCTGTTTGTTAGTGTTGAGGAAGGTTCAGTTACTGAGTATTTAATGTGTAATTAAATGTCAGCATGACAGTTTAATTAATTTGCAACCCTACGCATGTAGTACATGGTAGCTATAGATTCAAATTTGCACTTGTTGAACCCTACAGATGATAGGTATGAACAGTTTCAGCAAAACTTTTTCAAGAAAAATGAGACTGCAGTTTGTTTAAGTATTTGGAAACATGTTTAAAGAAAGGTTCTATGTATGCCTCACCTTGCAAGGACTTGAACAATCCTACATATTACAAACTTTATTATTCAGAAAAGAAATTTGCCTATGGGCTTCTAGCTTAACTTTTTATTAAGATTTATCATCTCAACATATACATTACTTTCTGGAGCTAATTCTGTGTTTTCAGTGGTTGACTAATATGGTTTCAAGGCATAGAATTGTACACTGGTAAAATGATGTCCTATTTTATTTCCGTTCAAATCATGAAAAGTCTCAATAAATTTTGTCTTGTTTGTAATTTACCAAAGGCTGATTTTTTGCTTTGTACATATATGCACTTAAAAGTCTCTTTATAACTTAACTTTTTTTAAATACACAATATGAGAAGGGCTCAGAGTTGATTACATGAATCAAATATTTCTCAGTAAAAAGTTTTCATACAAAACTTGCTCAAGGTTTACATACCAGAAGTGACAAATCAATAACAAACACAACAATATTGAGTGTTGATTGACATGATTTGGTTTTGTAATTTGTGATTTTATATATTGATATTTTTCAGGGAAGCCAAAAAATTGTGTAAAAATATGAAAGTAAATCCAGCAAGTATTGAATTAAAGCATTACAAGTGAGTATACACAATGTCCCCTCAATTGTTAATTGAAATTACTACAACCCTTTTCCTTTTTCTCATTTTTTTGACATCTGTATATACTTTCATTCTGCTTATTCTGTGAATAAAGGAAAAGATTTTAATGAAAGACAATGTTCTGGATGCCTTTTGAAATCCTTTTGCATGCTTTGATCTTTATCCTATTTTACAGAGGTGGAAATTTTAATAAAGATTATGACAGGAAGATGGTTACTAAGGTAGATATTTATGTTGTGTGTTTTAATTGTTACAATTTGTTAGTCTAAGTATTGCTTGTAGTTGTACCTACATGTACAAGTATGCAAATTTTATAGATATTTTTTAATACCTCCAGTAACCATGACATTTTACATGCATATATTTACATCCACTGAATAATTTCTCCTTTATTTCTTAAGAAAACCCATTGGGTTCATCACTGCATGAACTACATTAGGCATGTCGCCAGTACAGATTTCTTGATCAATGGCTGTTCCATCAGTGAAACGTATAAAGACATTTGCATCATTAATACAATAATTAACCTTTTTATTCAAACTTTAAATGATTATTTAAACATGATATAAATATAAACATAAAATGCATTACTAATATACTATTGCAGAAAAAATCATAACCCGCTTACGTGGGTTATGTATTTTTTCAGCAACATTTCTCTTTAATAGAAAGCATTTTATTGTTTAAATAATATACTGGAATCAAATGTACTTTTGTATAGTTATTGAAAAAATATGTTCTAAGTTTAATACATGTGGCATCTGTACCAGACTTGCAGGTTTGGGAACCATGATCTTAATCTATAGCATGATTTGGAGGCTACATTTGTCCTCCTATTTTTTTCTTCAGTGGCTTTGATTAAGGTTAGCTTTTAGGTCTGGTTCTGGTTTTATTACAATGGTCTCCAATCATACTCTCACAAATGGGTACAGTCCACTAATTGTTTTACCATAGGCGACAATGTTAACATTTCTTCTCCATAGCGATGGCCCTAATTTTCGTTCATCAGTGAGTGAACCCCTCAAATCAAAGCACATCAACTTGTCTTTCCCTGGTTAAAATCTTGAGGTGGCATGTCAGATTTGTTTTCCAGCAAAATGTGTCTGACTGTGGGAACCTCTGAAAATGAGAGTGAAAGTGGGGAATTTCTGACTTCTCACTGATGTTATAATGCACAAAATAATTTGGCTGATCTTTTTGATAAATTACATTTGCCAAGCTATTTTGGTATGAAAGATACTCCTTATCAACAAGTATGAGGCTCAGCTTAGTACATCTTCACAATTTTTTTTATGCAAGTCTGCAAATTAAAGAACTTGTAATTTTTTCTGCACTACTTTCTTCTCCTACCGAGTCTTAAAATAATTAGATGGATGTACCCAAATGATTTGTATATGGATCCATAGTCAGAAGGCATGTTATTTGACCAACGTTTATTCTTGAATGTCTTTCTGTAAGATTTCCTACTGAGATGAGATTTGACAGCCTTTGATTATGAACTATTGCATGATTTAAGTTATTGAAAGAACATTCATTAAGAGTCTTATCTTTCTGGCTTTATTCTTCAAAATCCAATAATCTTTCAAAACTTGCGCTTTAAAATATCTTGTAATCTCAATTTAGCAGAAAACTCATTATAAGGGATATACTTTGTAATTAACTAATTTTTTGTTGTAGTCCATGGTAAATTTCCTGCTGGACCCTACAGGGGATATACCCTGGGAAGAGGAGTCAGGGGCAGAAGATGTGGTCCATGTAGAATCCCCCAAGGCCTTCAACAAAATGCTCAAAAAACAGAAACAGCCTATGCTTGTCATGTTTTATGCTCCCTGTAAGTCAGATTTAATAATTAGTACAGTTCTCAGTTAACCTTGGCTTGGACTTTCAGAAAGGCATGGCATTCTCGACATTACATAGTTAGCACTGAAATTTACACAGCTTTCATTCACTGTTGAAATAAACATGGGATAGAAATTTAGACAAATGTCAATGAGTGTAGCAAATATCTAGTAACATTGTCTCATACGGCAAAGAGGTGGGGCTTAAAGAGTCTTATCATTGTCTACAACTATTTAAAGTTCCTGATGTTATTAATTTCTTAACCATTGAGAATCTATTCGCCATTAGACAGATGCTAACTACATAGCACCAAGAATGCCCATGCCTTTCTGAAAGTCCACTGTTAACTGAGGATTGTACTATTTAACAAATCTGTGTATTTATAGATGTATTTTGCTTCATTATAAATTGGATGAAATATAGATGAGTATTGATGCTTTTCTGATACGATAACGTGTATATCCTATCTAAGGTTAAGGATATATAACTCAAGACAAAAAAAATTGAGGCATATATTGGAAAAAAAAAAAATTGAATAGAAGTGGCATAAGTAATAAATTTCTAAAGTTTGCTTTGTGCTATTTCTCCTTAATAATAAGTTCAATTTTGTTATAAGAATCAAATACAGAGTCTTTGTTTATAACAGGGTGTGGGTTTTGTAAAAGGTTAAAGCCAGATTTTGCTGCAGCTGCCTCAGCACTAAAAGGAGAAGCAGTAAGTAGTACTCTAGTAGTAGTAATGGTCTACCAGAGATTTTAAGTATTGTTCTGTTGAAGTGCTACTGAAGATTAAAATTATCCCGCTTCAGACAAATTTGTTGATTACTGATTGGATAAAGGCTAATCACAAGACGCCCTGAAATTTTCCATATTACGTCTATATCCTATCGAGGCGTAATATATATAACTCAACGACAAAAAAAATTCGAAGCGTTGTATTGTAAATAAAAATGGCGGCTAGAAACGGTTAAACGTAGGTAGTTCAGTTAAATTTCTTGTTACCGTAACGATATTTTATGTTGATTGTTATTGGATAAAAACTAATATTTTCATAATATGCACAAATATTTTTTTATATTGAAAAAGGTCTTCAGCGGGATTTTGCTTACACAGTCAGCACTGAAAGGACGAAGCAGTACAGGGTGTGAAATGGAAATAGTAGTAATGGTCTCGCCCAGAGATTTTCCATTTCACACCCTGTATTGTTCTGTTGAAGTGCTACTGAAGATTAATATAAGTAATGTTCTACTGGAAATCATTGTAAGTAATGTTCTATTGAAGGTCACTGAGTAGTCTTTCTTCACAGTGGCTTTTTGGTTAATGCATGGAGGTTTGCGTTATAAAATAAATTTTTATACGTAGGTTCTTGCTGGGATAGATGTAGATAAGCCCCATCAGATGGAGCTACGATCAGAGTACAACATCACTGGCTTCCCAACTCTGTTTTATTTTGAGTAAGTCTTCATTACAACAATACAGAGCAGACAAGTACACTTTACTAAATGTGATGTAACCAACTGCATGTATCACTTAATGTTGTAGGAAAGGGAGGAAGAAGTTTGCCTATGGAGGAGAAAACAATAAAGACGGCATTATCAGCTGGATGAAAGAGTAATACTGATGTACACCATTAAAAAACAGAAATGTTTGGGAGGGTTTAAAGTTTGAGTTATTATATGGAAATAATTCTCAACTTGTCTCAAAGTTCCTAGTTATTTTTAATATATGTTGAGTAACAATATTCAGATAAAAAAATGCCACAAGTAAGACTTTTTTTTACATTTCGAGTTTTATATGTAGTAGTGACTTTTCTTGAAGCCCCAAGCCTCCTCAACCTAAGGCAGAAGAGAAGTCGTGGTCTGACGAGCCGTCTGACGTCGTACACTTGACTGATGACAACTTCTCCACATTCCTGGCAGAAAATCCATCTGTTCTAGTCATGTTTTATGCTCCTTGTAAGTTCTGATGCAAATGGTATTTTTTTAATTCAGATGTTAAGTTCATTTAAGTGTTTAATATTCATTTTCATTGCAGGTTTATTTTCAATTTTTTCATAGTAGGGGAAAAAACATTACACTGTCATAACACTATTTAAAATTAGAGGAAATCCTAGATTTTAAAAATAAAGGAAAAATAGATTTTGTTTATGTGTGAAATGTAGAAAAGACCATAAAAGAAATTGAAACTATATATCATAACCCTGTTTTATTATACCGATATACAAAAGTAAAAAAAAAAAAAGAGGTTTACAAATGACAGGGAATTAGCTTCTGGAGTGGGGATTAGCTTACTTGACTAACGCACAGGGATTAGTCCATTAACATTATACCGATACAAAAGAAAAATCTATAGGATGACCAATAACAGGGAATTAGCTTCCGAAGCTGGGATTAGCTCATTGGACTAACGTACGGGGATTAGTCCATTCAATGTGATTTCTAGGGAATTATTCACATTTTACTACCCAATTCTTGTATAGGAAAAAATCAGTAGAGGCATAATAATCTTGACTAATGCATTCCTCCTTTGACATTATTTACATGATCATGTGCAGATATAGTAAAATTGTTATTATAAAACATTTTAGGGTGTGGACATTGTAAAACCATGAAACCTGAATATACAAAAGCAGCAGCCACATTAAAGAAGGATGACGTAAGTTTTTTTCCATGTTTTATAAGTTTAGCAGCCCTTTTGCATTAATATAAGATTGAAATTAAGAGGAGATAAACCTTTTTATCCACAGATTAAAGGTGTTCTAGCAGCAGTTGATGCTACAAAAGAAAAGAAAGTAGGAGATCAATTTAAAATCACGGGTTTCCCTACAGTCAAATACTTCAAGTACGTACTTATTATTATTTCAAGTTATCTGCTTATATGACAACTACATTGTATATCTGAAACAAAACTGAGAAAACTACAGAGAGTGCCTTCTAATTTCAGAGATGGAGAATTTGCTTTTGATGTCAGTGAGAGGACGGAGGATAAAATTGTGGAGTTTATGAAAAAGTAAGTACAGTGATAGTAAAGGTAATGTTAAAGTAAATGCATTGTATAAAAATTGTATGCAGGTACGGTACATTACGTACCATGTCCAGTTATGTCCCTTAACATATCTTTTGTATTACAACACTTTTGATTGTCAGCCCATCAGAACCGCCCCCTCCACCACCCCCAGAGCAGAACTGGGCAGACGTACCCAGCGATGTGGTCCACCTGACAGATGAAAACTACAAATCATTTCTCCGCAAGAAGAAGCACGCCTTGGTCATGTTTTATGCACCTTGTGAGTTTTCATGAAGGAAATATATGTAGAGCACATGCAATCATGTTATGGTAATGGAAGCATGAATTTATGAATATACAGATGGAAAAATGACATGTATATTAAGTGAATTATTTTACTATAACTTGCAGGGTGTGGACATTGTAAGAAGGCAAAACCAGAATTCCAGAATGCAGCAGCAAAGTTAGCAGACGACACAAAAGTAAGGAAAATAAAATACTCTGGCTTGTATGAAATCTCAATTTCCTTAAATTTTATAAAGACAGAGCTGCCAACCCTTACGATTTTGGCGTAAGTCTTATGAAATTAGCGTCCAAAATACGCCTTACGATTTCTCTCTATATTTTTCTGATTTCGGTTTTTCTCAATCAAAGTTTATAATACCGGAAATTTCATAACTGGCCATCTACAGTTTCTACTATTATAATTAAATATTCATAATCCTTACAACGCTTGCTTGTATCGTCCTTTCGATCTCAGATGGCTGATCACATTCATGCCAATGTTTTAAAATAAAAAAATGAAAACGTGCCTCAAAGTGCACCGATTACTTGTTTATTTACAAAGCATCTTCAGTAACAGGGATCTAAGGCGGTCCCCGGACCACGCCTTACTATTTTTCATTTTAGAATGTTGGCAGCTCTGTAAAGATATCAAATAGGGCATGCAATTTCCAGTATTTCAAATAAGTTTTATTTGTAGGTAGCTTTTGCAGCAATAGATTGTACAGTTCACCAGGCATTATGTACACAGAATGAGGTCACAGGGTACCCTACATTGAAGTATTTTAATTATGGCAAGAATCCACAGAACTACATGGGAGGCAGAGAGGTACTTTTGGATATTTTCAAAGACAATATGCTTTTGGTTTAAAAAATGATGGTGCTGTTTGTCTTTCTTTCAAAAAAAAAAAAGATAAGCTATACAGTTCAAGAGATTGAATTTGATAAAGGATACATTATCTATAGGAGGCAGATTTTGTGAAGTTTATGAAGGACCCCTCCAACCCTGGTGCCACGCCCCCTCCTCCCCCGGCAGAACCCCCCGAGAAGCAGTGGGCAGACATCAAGGGCATGGACAGCCTACACTTCCTAACTACCTCAAACTTTGATACGTTCCTCCAGGAGCACAACTCAGTCCTAGTCATGTTCTATGCTCCCTGTAAGTATTCAGTTATAGGCCCCCTGTAAGTATTAGAATCATGAATCTCTTGGAATCATTTGAATCTACGCTTTCCTGTAAGTATAGGAATCTATGCTCCCTTATGCTATCCTGTAAGTACTGAAATCATTTGAATCTATGCTCCCCTGTAAGCATTGGAATCATTTGAAACTACACTCTCTGGTAAGTTTTAGAATCATTTGGATCTGTTCCCCTTTGCTTTCCTGTTATATTGGAATCATCTGAATCATTGATACCTTGTCACTGATCTCTAGAAACAAGTACATGTACAAAGGTCAATGCTTCTTATAAATCAGGACATAAACTCTGCCAAAGAGGTTTGGTTTTGGTTTTATTTGTTTCCAAGTGTTTAGGATTAACACATACTTTGTTTGCTCATTTTTATGTTGATGTTTGAAAGGTACAATGTATTTAGACCAGAAAAATATTTGCATTGTACAAATAGACTGCAGTGTACTCTTGATGAATGTCACTCAGTTGGCAGGAGTCTTTTATAACAGTTTTAAATTTTACTTCATTTGCTTGTAAAGTAAGCTCAAAGCTCAGTACCACAATATTTGAGCTTTGTTAGAGATCCGTTGCTGTCTTCTGACTAACCTATTCTGTGTTGTCTGTGTTCTACAGGGTGCGGGCATTGTAAAGCTATGAAGCCAGCCTACGGAGAAGCTGCCAGTCTACTCAAACAAGAAAAGGTAGCAGGTCTTACAACAAGCCAAATCAATTCAGATTCTGGAAATTAAGTAAATATATGTAAAACTTTCCTTATTTGCAATTTGTAAGGAATGAATCTGTATTAAAAAAAAACATTATTTATTTGTGGTATCTTTCTGAATAAGAACAGGATATGATTATAAAACCTTCAAGCATGTACAGAAAAAGCATGATGGCTTTGATTATATAACATAGTATGATTAACAAGATATAAAGAATGCTTTATAGTAATATAAGGCTTGACTTCCAGGTTAATGGTGTACTGGCGGCAGTGGATGCGACCGCTGAACCCTCGCTGGGATCTCGATTTAACGTCAGGGGATACCCAACATGTAAGTCACTGCTTGAGTTATGTTACCATGAAGTCTTTGCATGTAATTTTTCTTACATTTCCTATGGTTTTAGTAGTAAATTTTTGTATACATTCATGGACTGAATCAGCACAATGCAATTTGTTATTCCAACAACTTTTTATAAACAGTTGAGTTTCATTGCTTTTAGCTCACCTGAGTCAAAGGCTGATCAAAATTTGTTCATTGACTGATGTGGTGGTTAATTTTTTCACATTTTCATCTCCTTCAATAGAACCACCAGGGCAATTTCAACCAAACTTGGCACAAATCTTCGTTGGTTAAAGCTAATTCAAATTTGTATGTTCAAGGGAAGATAATTAAGAATTCATAAAATTTAACGGCATCGTTTTAAAATTGTCCTCTCAAGAACCTCTACAAAAGATAAAATTTAGTCAAAAGTTTCATAGTGGAGATTCAATTTCATTCAAATCGTGACCTCCAGGAGTAGGTTGGGGCGACAGTGGGTGATCAAAGTGTATCATAGGTATGTATAGAAAAACTTTTAAATATTTTCTTCGTTAGAACAGCATAACCATTGTTAGTCATTTTCTATATGAAAGCATCACTGGGTAGTATAGATTTAATTTTGTTCTAATTGTGATCCCCAGGGTTATTGGTGGGCAACAATGGGCAAACAAAGTTTTACATGGGTATATGTATAAAAAAAATTCTTCTTCTCAAGAACAGCAAAGCCATGTTTAGGTCATACACTGTATTTATATAGAAGTTTCCTTGAGAAGTGTAAATTCAGATTTGTTAAATTCATGACCCTTGGGGATAGATAAGGCCACAACATATCAAATTTCAAGACATAAAACTATTGGGGGGAAATCTATTGATAGAGAACAGCAACATGACACAAAAACTCATGTGAGCAATTTGGCCTATAGGCCTCTAGTAAAGGAGGAAAACATTACTAGATCACCCATTGTTAAAGAACCTGTGATATTTTTAGACCTCACCATTTTTGCCTAAATCATCACTTCAATTGATGCATCAAGAAAATCAGAGTTGTATATTTATACCTCACACTTTTCATTAATTGTTGTTCGTTTTCCTTTGCTTCAGTGAAATATTTCAAGTAAGTGTTGTATTCGTGCACTGTAGTTATTTCATCTATATGCACTTGTGCATTGTAGATATTTAATGCACTTGCTTGTATTTGTGCGGTGTAGATACATGTATTTTAGCCATATGCACATAAATATATCTGCACTGTAGATATTTCATCCTGCACATGCTTAATCATGTTTTATCGTATAATGCATGAAGCCCAATCACTGTAGCAAGAGGGACTGTGTATTGTGAGGGAAAAGGGTATAGACCATTTCACGATATTTGCTGTTCTATTCTTTTGCAGAGCGAAATGATGTATTTTGGTGAAATATGACGTAAAAGCAATTGTTTTTTATATTTAAAAAGGGGAACCACAGTTATCGTGAAAGGGCTAATTATGATGTTTCATATTTCAGAAAAATAGTGCAATTATGAATAGATCATGAGGAGATTATGATCTGACAAAAAAGTCACAGTTTGGAGGGGGGAAATGACATTTTTACACATGCTAGGAAAGGATCTTGATTTTTAATGAGTTTGGTCTTATCATGTCGTATGCATACCTTTAAAACAATCAAATAAATTATACCTACATGTAAGCTAAAAGCTCAAGTGAGCTTTTCTAATCACCCATTGTCTGTCGTCCATCTGTTTGTAAACTTTTCACATTTTCAAGTTCTTCTCAAGAACCACTGGGCCAATTTTAACCGAACTTGGTACAAAGCATCCTTAAGTAATGGGGGTAAAAATTGTTAAAATGAAGGACCAAGCCCCCTTACAGAGGGAGATAGCAAGAAAAGACAAAAATAGGTATTACCTACCTGGGGTAGAGTAGAGTCTAAATTGTTCAAATCAATACCCCTGGGTAAGGGAGGGCCACAATAGGGAATCCAAGTTTGACTTTGAAATACAGTGTATAGGAAATTGTTAAAATCATGACCCCAGGGGGTAAGGTGTATATGCCACAGTAGGGAATCCATGTTTTACATTGAAATATATTTACATGTAGCAAAAATATTTGAAAATCTTGAGAACTACTGAGCACAAAAAGCTGAAACTTGTATGGAAGCATCCTTGGGAAGTGTATAGTTCAAATCATGACACTGGGGGTAGGACGGGGCCACAATAGAGAATCCGAAGTTTTATATTGAAATATAAAGGAAAAATCTTTTCAAGAACTGCTGAGCCAGAAAAGTTGAAACCAAAGTGGATGCATCCTGAGGTAGTGAAGATTCTATATTGTTTAAATCATGACCCCGAGGGAAGGAGGGGACACAATAGGGAATCAAGATTTACATTGAAATATTTAGCAAAAAACCTTTAAATCTTCACATTGAAATATTTAGCAATAAATCTTTAAATCTTCTTCTTAAGAACCACTGAGCCAGAAAAGCTGAAACCCATGTGTAAGCATTTACCAAAAGATACTTTATTTGATAGTCCAGTGGTTCTTCTGAAGAAGTTGAGGAAAGTGAAACCTTCACACACTAAGCCTACCAGCGCAGCAAATAGCAAAAGGTCACCCAAGTGACTGGTGACCTAAAATTGAAAATAATTCAAAGATATCTTAAAATGTAATTTTATCGCATGAATTTGCTCAGATTATCATAATTTACTTGTTTTATTGCAGCATGTACATAATGTTGTACATGTATATCTTACATTTATCTTATTATACATCATATGTAAGTAAGAGTGATTTACAGTAACATGGTTCTGTAATCATTATATGCTGTGAATAACTTGTAGTTGGAAAAGGATGCATGTCAAAGAGCTTAAAGAGTGAAAGGAGGACATAATACATAAATGTATAAAAATACTACAATAATATGTAATATTTTATAAAGCACAGTTTAATTGCTAATACTTAACAAGAAGAAAAAGTTTAATATTCTATTGAATAACAAATGTATGAAAACCAATACACTGTATATACATAAGTAGTTATAGAATAAATTTTCAGGAAGATATGTAAAATATTTATGTATGTTCAAGATTTGCTAAATGTTAAATTTTTATGTTTTAAATTAATTATCAAGATACAAGTAACTTGCTGAGGGTGACCTATGAACATATGTTTATTACTTCATTGATTTAAACAGAAATGGTCAGGAAGCATTTGACTACCAAAGTGGGAGGAGTACAAAAGATCTTGTATCTTTCATGAAAGAGTAAGTCGTTTTTATCCATTGAAATGTAACAGTTCATAAAATTAATCAACTTACCAAGAACAAAATGGTCCATTACTGTATGGCTGTAATATATTTTTCCCCACTGGTATATAGTACATATTTCTAATTTTAGTCCCAAGGAGCCACCCCCTCCCCCGGCCCCCGAGCCGGCCTGGAGCACGGTACCCAGTAAGGTCAACCATCTGACCTCCAAAGACTTTAAAACATTCCTCAAGTCCAAAGCCAGTGTACTAGTCATGTTTTATGCACCTTGGTGTGGACATTGTAAGAAAGCTAAGCCTGACTTCCAGGAGGCTGCAGATAAAATGGCCAAGGAGTCCAAATCAAAAGCATTCGCTGCCGTAGATTGCACAACTAATGAAGGTATGAGATTGTTTTTAATCAGTCGTGGAAATAATTTTATCCACTGTAATAAAACTGGGACAATACAATGTTTTGAGAATTTTTATAGAACCTCTTTGAAAACAAATACATGTATCTCCAGTTCTCCATGGATACTTATACAGTAAAACTAAGTTACAACAAAGTCACTGGGACCAATGAAATTACTTTGCTATATCCATGATTCATTATATCGGTACACTGTATAAGAAATTCATTAAATATATATAGCTGGGGATACAAGATAACTTCCCTATATCTGTGAATTGGCAATATCCTTGTTTATGCAACTAAATGAGTATTACTGTACCATTCATGTATTTTCTTCTTACATTAAAATTTTGGAAATTATAAGTGTTCTATGACTTTCATATTTCTTTTCCAGATATCTGTTCTACAGAGAAAATAGAGGGATATCCAACCATTAAACTTTATAGTGATGGAATTTTTATGGCAGATTATAATGATGATAGAAAGGCTAATAAATTTTACGACTTTTTAAAAAATGCACCAGTAGTAAAAGAGGAACTGTAATATCTCCTAGCCTATTTATATTTAATAAATTTTATTACCTACAATCTTTGTTTATTTCATTACATAGTTGGCATTATTATCATTCTGCAAAAATATTCTATTGCAATTATACATGTATAAGGAAAGGAGGAATGAATAAAGAAAATATATTGCTGGGCTGGGACTCAAATCCGGGACCTCTATTAGGAGCCACTCAGGTCAATATCCACAGGCCACCAAGCCGTAACTTCTGCACTATTTGAAGACAATAATTATGAAAAAATTTATAAAAGAATATTTTTTTATTTCATTGTACAATGAACTTTATTGACAGGAATAGAGTAAATTTTTCATCTGGATATTAACTTTGTAATAACTAAGTTTTAGTAGCTCATACATGATACTAAGTTATCATAAATTTTAATTATATAGTATATAATTATATTAATAATATGTCATTATAATTTATCTCCCCTTGGAAGAGGGTGTGGCCCTTCATTTTAACAAACTTGAATCTCCATCACCCAATGATACTTTATAGCAAGTTTGGTTGAAATTAGCCGAGTGGTTCTTGAGAAGTCGAAAATGTAAAATGTTTACAGACAGACAGACGGACGCCGGACAAAATGTGATCGGAAAAACTCACTTGAGCCTTCGACTCAGGTGAGCTAATAAGAGGGACTGTGAGCAATAAGTTCATTAAATGATACCCTCGCCCCCATATGGTTATAAAGGCAAAGTCCATGTCTTGCACTGGGAGACACGAAATAAGTGTTGGATCAAAAAGTAAAATAGGTGATCACAATGGCACTATAAAACAAGGATTCTGTGAGAGTCTCATTAACTTTCATTCAGTGGTAAAGGAGGAGTTGCAGATAAGAGATGGGTACCGAAAGCATAACTGATGGACGTAAAGGAGATGTACATCCTGATCACTATATACCCTCCCTCTTTTCAAGGGTTCACTTGAACAATGTCAAAGCCACTGGCTAATAATTAATGCAATCTTTAAAAATCTTCTTTACTCCTGAACATCAAGCAACCAAACTGTTGGCATGATTGTAATCAGCATTGAGCCCTCTACCAAAATGTGAAATTCATGGCCCCAGGGTCAGGGGTTCTGGTCTTAGGGAGGGGTTCTAATGATCATATAGTGAAAATCCAATAATTCTTCCGAAAAATCTTCTCCTCTGCTCCTGGATATAAAGCCGATGAAGTGTTTACATAGTCATTATGAAGAAGGTTGCCTCTATCAAAATTGTGAATTTAATGGCCCCTGGGTCAGGAATTCTGGTGTAAGGACAGGATTCTATTGATTATATAGTAAAAAGGCACTGATTTTTATTGCTATATTATATTGCTATAAATATTGCTATCGGTTTTCGTCCATCGTCGTGCATCGTGTGTTAACATTTGAACATATTCAGCTTCTTCTCTGCAACCACTGAACCAATTTCAACCAAATTTGGCACAAAGCATCTATAGGTGAAGGGGAACAAAAATTGTGAATTCCATGATCCCTGCCCCCCTGGGGCCTGAGGGGTGGGGCCAAAACCACTAAAATTAATGCAATCTTTAAAAATCTTCTTCTTTACTCCTGGACATCAAGCAGTCAAACTGTTTGCATGATTGTAATCAGTATTGAGTCCTCTACCTAAATTGTGAAATTCATGGCCCTGGGGTCAGGGGTTCTAGTGCTAGGGCAGGGCTAAATAAGTAGATAGTGAAAATGCATTATTTCTTTGAAAATCTTCTTCTCTGCTCCTGGGTATTAAATAAACCAAGTAAGTACATAGTTATGATGGGCAAGAGTGCCTCTACCAAAATTGTGAATTTTAAGGCCCCAGGGTCAGGGGTTCTGGTGTTAGGGCGGGGCTCTATTGATTATATGGTGAAAATACATGAATTCTTTGAAAATCTTCTTCTCTGCTCCTGGGTATTAAATAAACTACTAGTAATTAAGTGCATAGTTATGATAAGCAAGAGTGCCTCTACCAAAATTGTGAATTTTATGGCCCTAGGGTCAGGGGTTCTGGTGTTAGGGCGGGGCTCTATAGATTGTTTAGTGAAAATACATGAATTCTTTGAAAATCTTCTTCTCTGCTCCTGGGTATTAAATAAACCAACTAAGTGCATAGTTATGATGAGCAAGAGTGCCTCTACCAAAATTATGAATTTTGTGGCCCCAGGGTCAGCTGTTCTGGTGTTAGGGAGGGGCTCTATTGATTATATAGTGAAAATACTTGAATTCTTTGAAAATCTTCTCTGCTCCTAGGTATTAAATAAGCTAAGTGCATAGTTATGATGAGCAAGAATGCCTCTTCCAAAATTGTGAATTTTATAGCCCCAGGGTCAGGGGTTCTGGTGTTAGGGTGGGACTCTGTAGATTATATAGTGAAAATACATTAAATCTTTGAAAATTTTCTTCTATGCTCCAGGGTATTAAGTAGATGTACTACCTATATAGTTATGATGGACAAGGGCCCTAAACTTCCAGAATTGTGAATTTCAAGGCCCCAGGTTCAGGGGTACCATAGAGGGGGGGGGCTGTACTTATATACTGAAAATGAATGAATGGTTTGAAATCTGCTCCTTGGCATTAATCAAATATCAAGGCCTAAGGGTCAGGGGTTCTTGTGTGGTATGGGCACTACTGATTATTGCTGAATATTACTGATTAGTTGAAGTGCATTTTTGTTCCCCTACCCTGCGTATGGGTATTAAGTAAACAAACTAAGCAACTGCTAAGTGTATTGTTATGATGATCAATGGTTCCTCTTTCAAAATTGTGAATGCCATAGCATCTGGCTTAAAACATGAATCAAATTCAATCACTGGAAAGTTGTTGCATGATGCTCAGGTGACCTATAAGGCCCATGGACCTCTTGTTTGAAAATCTTCTCCTCTGCTCCTTGGTATTAAACCAATGAACTATATGTACATAAGTATGATGAAGAGGGGTGCCTGTTCCAATATTGTGAATTTCATGGCCCTTGGGCAGGAGTGTTTGGAGTGGGGACACTCTAATGATTATATATTGAAAATGATTTTTTGCTTTGAAATATGCTTTTTGTTGGTATTGATCAAACATTTATAATAAACAAGGGTGCTTTTTCCAAAACTGTGAAATGTGTGGCCCCAAGGTCAAGGATTGCTTTGGTGTTGGGCACTACTGATTATATTATAGTGAAAATGCATATTTTCTTTGTTCCTCTGCTCTGTCTCTGGGTATTAGGTAATCAAAGTAAGCATGCCAAATGTGTTATAATGGGCAATGGTGCCTCTTTCAAAATTGTGAAATTTTTGGCCTTTGGTTTAAAACACGAACCAAATTCATTTGTTGGCAAGTTGTTACATGTTACTCATGTGACCTATAAGGCCCATGGGCTTCTTGTTCATGTCAGCAACTACTGTGGCAAAGGACTTCTGTTTATCAAGAACTAGTCTCCTTGATGCGCAGTTAATTTCAAACATGTGATGTAAGGACCCTCTCCTTACTTTGAAACTTTAGTGCATTAAGCTTTAACTGCACTTTGAACCTTTGCTATGAAATTTTACACAACTCCCTATGGCTAAAAGAAGTCCACTTACTATTGATTTTGAGGTCAAATATCAAGGTTGTATATTCATATTCCCAGAAAACTTCAATTTTGGGGGTGATACTGTATGTGAAGAATCTTTTGCAATGAAATGTTATACCATAACTCCCTATAGCCCTTGCCACTGTTGTTCATGCTGCTGTTTTTGTTGATGAAAATCAATGTCAGGAATTGAAAAAAAATATATTGGTGAAATTTGGAGCAAAGAAGATTTTACCAAACTGTTACAGAAATGTTAAATTCTGTAATTAATTTGGAAATATTTTATAAATATACTTTAGTTACTGTTTATTTACAAAACTATAGAACATAAAGGATGCACTAGCTGACAATAGAGGGAAGATATAATTATATGTACAAAACAGAAAAAAAACAATTCTTTTATGGAATACTTGAACATATCTGAATAACCCTTTCGAATACGAATAATAAGTTGGCATCCCTTTTCATGATTTTTAGCTCTATTAGTCAGAGACCAGATTGATGTTATATATACATGAAATACAAAGAAACTAACAAAGGAATTAGTTTAGTTTGTGGATGATTTATCTATAAGATAATATGAAGGAGATGATGACATTAATATGTTTTTTTAAGTGGATGAATTTTTAAGTCTTCATTGGTTCCTGTCCTTCTAAAGTCTTCCCTTGCTTCTCTAATTCCGCCCTAAAATAAAAGACAATGCGTTTGTTTTAATATTTTTTATACATAAAATTGTAGGTATTCTTTGAACCGAAATGGTAATTGTCTATAAAGAAGTGGATGTCATGTCCATATACACATTTACATCCACACATACTTTATGTTCACACACACATCCGATATTGACTTCTTTACAGAGAATGGCTCCATACCTGAGCTGTAGTGAGAAATCATCCTCTACATTATCATCGTCCCAGTTATCTTCCCATACATTTACATCCTCTTCATCCTCATCAGCACCAGTCCAATCTGTTTACAATTTAAACCAATATTAACATTTGTCATATTTATGATAATTTTTGAGTAACCTAGGGAACCAATTAATTATTTGCAGTTCAATCACAAGGGTTTGCTCCCGGCGTGTAATAATTACATGTATCTAATTAAAAAATCATATACTGTATACCATATATGACTTTTTTAAAATTAATTATTACACGCCGGGAGCAGGCCCCTGTGGTTTACTGGTGCCGATGGAATGGGAAAAAATTACTTAGTCATGTACAGTACAATTGTATTGTATAAACAGGAGTGCTTGTAGATATTGTTAGGCATGTGAAACCTTTCACGACAAAAGAAACTAAAAATGATTTCAAAAACATACCCTCTGCTGGAAATTCTTCAAATTCATCGTCTTCTTCTAATAAACCTAAGTCAGGTTTTTTGTCTTTTTCTTTCGCGTCACTCATGTTGATTTTTAATCCTTTTCACAGGGACGCTTGAAAGTCAAAGAGAAGATAAACCAAACCCAGGTTATTATTCCGAAATAATGTTCTATTTTTCACATTTTCATCAACAAAACTTGCCACAACAGCCACGTAGCATTGTTTTTGAAAGTGGAGGGGCCAGACAGAGAAAAAAAAAGTTTTTTAATTACCTGAAAAAGTTGACAAGCAAAAAAAAAAAAAAAAAAAAAAAGAAAAGAGAAGTTGCCAAAGTCGAAAAACCTATTTCGGGGGGTGAGAGTGGGGGATAGAGGCCAACTTTTTTCAATGCCAACTTCTTTCGGTACCAATTTTTTATAATAAATTTCCCTAAGATAACATAAAGTTGGTGGGGGGGGGGGGGCAACCAGCCTTTCAAGAAACATTTCCTATAGTATAAGTAACGTTATTGTTGGGGAAAAAAGTGGGGGGAGGCCCCCTGCCCCCCCCCCCCCCCCCCCGTTGCTACGTGCCTGCACAAAGCATCCTTATATGAAAGGATTTAAGTCTGTTCACATTGAGGACCTTGTCCTCTTTCAAGCGGAGATTATTCAGAAATAGTGAAAATTAAAGTTTGTTTTAATGATTACCCCTAGGGACTCGAGTGAGACCACAATTGGGGAGAGATCCCGATGGGATCAAAGATTTACATAGGGATATAAAGGGAAAAAAAAACAAATATTCTGCTCATTAACCAATAGAGCCATGATAATACAGTCATACCAATATGGAAACATCTTCAGGTTGTGTAGATTCAAGTTTATCATGACCCCATCCCCCGGAGGGAAAGGGAGGACCACATGAGGGAATCAACTTTTTACAAAGGAATATACGGGATTTTTTTTTTTAAAAACTTATGAAAATTTCTGTTCAAGATCATCAAAGCCAAAAGTTATATTTATAAGAAAGCACCCATGGGTAGTGTTAAATTCAAGATTGCCAATCCCTTCCCCTCTAAACTTTTCAATAATGAACAGACTTGTGCTTTTTCATAGCCTATGTGCTCAGGTGAGCGATGTGACCTCATAGGTCTTTTGCTAATTTTCCATTTATATTTTTCTATTTCTATACCACTGTAATAGAAGATTCTGGAGTATAGTTTTTGCCCAGTTCGTCCATCTTTCTAGCTGTTATAGTTAATCTGTTTAATTGTCTGCAAAAGGAAAAAAATCAACTTCAATCTTACCCTTATTCTTTGATTGGATGAGGCTATAGCTTGTTTATTCTGTGAAAAGACCTTTCTTTGGATATGGAAGTATTTGATCTTTTGTCCTTGACCTTCAGTTTGGCCCACTTTTGCAAAAAAGATATATAAAATTTTAAACCTGCATGGCCATACCTTGGCTAGGGAAGATGAGTTAGTACGTACGTGCTAGGGGTTCTATACTAACTTTTGATTGGTGGAGCTATAGCTTTAATATTTTACATGTGTATTCATTCTTTTCCTTGGATGAAATATTTTTGACCTTTGACCTTAACCTTAGAGTTTGGCCCATTTTTTTTTTTAACAAAACTTAAACCATGGACTTATGTTTTGAATTTAACACTTACTGACTTAGTGCTTTGAGTGCATTCCTTGTAACAAACCCTTCCTTTGAATGCTACATGTAACAATTTTGACCTTTTGATCTTGACCTCGGAATTTGACATATTAAAAAAAATAATCTTGACCATGACTTTTCATAACTTTTAAACAGACTTTATTTTTGGTACATAGCACGTGGCTAATTAGTTGGGAGATATACTTGATGCTAGGGTTTTTATATTTCACTTGAACATATTGATTGTGACCCGATCATACCTGTAATTCTACATTATTAACATTTTTGTATAGAACATGTAGAAAATTTAATAGTTTTTCCAAATTCTTTGTCTACTTTAATCAAGGGAAAGATCCAATTTTGGACGGCATAACTGAACATATTTCTGTATCAAATAAGTTCTACACATAGACGATGTATAAGAACTTCTTCTTCCATATGACTTTTCATAGTGATCGAGAGCATCCTCAAATCGTCTTTCTTTCTCGTAAGCTATGCCAAGAATGAGGTGAGCCACTGCTAAATCATCATGTTTGCAGACATTGGAAACAACATTTTCTAGATCGGTTAGTGCCTCTTTAGCATAGCTGTTTTGATCAAGATGTTTTTGACACATAAATGTCAAAAAATGTAAATATACAAGAGGATGAATTACCAAAGATGCTCTCTGAAACAAAATGTCAAACTGAAGTTCGCTGGGTATGTTCTCCCGATTAGGCCTCTTTCTGAAAACACCTTTCTCTTCCCAAACGATCTCTTTTCGGATGATTATATCCATAGCTAAGAGCCCCTCACGCTTCTCTCGCAGAGAATATTTCTGAACTGTTGCTGAAAAGACATACTCAGGAAGTACCTCGTCAAGATTAATTACGTCAGCGTTATTTATACCAGCATAGAATGTAAACTTTTTCAACCTCGTTTGAATTTGTTGCATTATTCTAAGGACTTGAGAATATTTCTTAACACCATATAAACATGTGGCTAACATCAACGGACCTCTTGTTAAATCCAACTCTTTTGCCCTAGTGAAATATTCAACTTGGTCCTCGTGCGTCCGTGATTTCATCGCCTCTCTCTGAAACATTGATAAACGCTGACAAGTGACAAATTCGATCTCAAGTTCTGATAAGTTCTCAAATTTTGTGCTCTCCATTTTGCTGAATTGACTGAGGTCATCAGTAAGGAAAGAGGAAGACAGCACTCTAAATTCTCTCAAGTAGGACTGGTCAACAAAGTAAGCCCTTAGACATGGAATAATTATATCTTTATGATGGGTGAAAATATGAATCCGTTTCTCGCATCTAGCAAAACAATTCCACAAACCCATTTTAAACACAGTTTTCATTGTTTCTTTAAGTTGCATTTTTGTTTGACCGTAAATCTTTGATTTGAACATATTTCTCTCGGGAATGAAATAATTGGGACAACTTTCATTTTTCATCCAATGGGTTAAGCGCAACAAGCACATCAAAAAACAAATGGCTATGTTGTCTGGGCGCCATAGTTCTGGAGCCGTCTCTTCAATGACCCAAAACATCAAAGTTTTTATAAAATATGAGCAGAGTGAATTTTCCGGGTAGGTGTCTATTTTTTCGATACATTCTTTCAGAACAATTTTGAAGAGACCATAGCATAGAAATTGTGTTTGATTGAACGCAAACATCAACCTCTTCTCTGCTTTGTTAAAAGACAGTCTCCATAAGAGATCGTTTTCCACGTCTTTAACTGGACCCAGGGGGACGAGGTGACATCCGTCTAGCTCTATTTCTCTAACCAATTGTTTTGATGGCCAAAGTCTTGGTCTATTGACCCATTCCTTCGCCTGTGGGGGCCAAAATGGACATTCCAGTGAAAATGCCATATCGTGATCAGATGACATCCCAGTCAAGGAAATACATGGGCCATGCATAAAGAAATCAGTGTTCGGGTCTCGGTTTTTTTCTATCCACCATTTCTTGAATTTATGACTGGAAACATAATTTTGAAGTAAGGCAAACTTGATGCACTGAGCATGCCCTTCAAATGTATCCTCTCCGCTGTTTTGGAATTTGAGCAAAACATACCCTTCCTTCGCATAATTGGTCTCATGACTAATTATAAGAGATAACTTTTTATCAGAATCATTTCCCTCTCTTGAATACAATATTTCCATATTTGAATGGTGAATGTTTACATCTTTAAGTACCTTCATGTAATCACGATCAGTTCGTCCGTGTCGGAATCCTTCGGCAACACTTCCGGTACAGATCGTTTCGAGATACGGATGATAAATGGAGAGATAGTCCTTCCTTTTCACTTCAAACTCTTTGACATTTCTTCTCATTTGAATAGATTCTTCAAAACCAATTTGTACATTAAGTTCATTATATAAACATTTATTGTGATGAATGCAATTTCCAAATTTATACTCCATTTTTTATTGCATCGTATTCAAATTATATAGGATTTTAAAAAGTCCTTACTTTAATTTTCCTTTTGTATATATTTCAGGTACTCGCATTTTCTGCTGTAAAAATTAAAGCAATTTGAAACGATTAAAAATTCTCAGTGAATACAGCGCATATCTTGTAACCTTCCTCCCTCCCTTTTGCAGATGTCCTACAGAATTCCCGGATAGAGTTTTAGGCCTTGCAGTCTTCGAGTATCATAGATCCAACAGAGATTTCAAATCACTTTCAAAACAGGGGATTTGTTCGTTTATTGCAGAAACCAGTTTCACAAACCGAAAGCTGGACAGAAAATTCCGGGACTATTTTAATGCTATTTTTAAAACGACTTTAGGCCCCCAGTATGTCAAGGATGATTTGGTTTTTTAATAAATTTCTTGATTTAAATACTATTAATTACGGAAACGTATTAGTGTCACGTTTTTTTTTTTAATTTCGTACTTTAACATTGAAGAAGGTAATTCCTTGTGTGAAAAAACTTTTGCATTTATAGAAGTTTCCCGATCGATTTAGAACTGAAACAGTTTAGAGTTCCTTATTCCTTTACCCCAAACTTTAAATTTGGCTTTTCCAACTTAAATTTGAGCTTTTCTTACCTTTTTATTTCATTTGTTAAATATTCTCTTCAACTTTATTAATGCATTGAAGTAAGTCGGCAGCCACGTAGCATCGTTTTTGAAAGTGGGGGAAGCCAGATAATTTTTTTTTCTTACTTGTAAAAGTTGACAAGCAAACAAAAAAGGGGGAAATTGCCCAAACTCAAAAAAAAAAACTGGGGGTGGTAGAGGCCAAATTTTTTCAATGCCAACTTCTTTTTTCTATCAACACTACATTTCCCAATTTCCTGTAGTAAAAAGTGGGGGCCAACCAGCCTTTTACTGAACATTTCCAATAGTAAAAGTAATGTTGGGAAAAAATTGGGGGGGGGGGGTGGTCCCCCTTTTGGTATGTGCCTGAAACGGTGATCGTGCACTGTCTCAATCCTATTTTATTTTGTGTACACATGTGTTGGGGTATTGGGGTGTTCCAACTTCTTTCAGTACCAAATTTTATTTACACCACATGCATTAGGGACTGGGAGAGGGGGTAGGTTCCGAGTTCTTTAAAGGCAGAGATTTTTTACCGGGTGGTAAATTCCAGGTGAGGGAGGGGCTTATTTTGTACAGGTGTGAATGCCTTAGGGGCTAGCAGTCTACCTGTGTCATCTGTCTCTTAATCCCTATACACAGTGAAATACCCCAGGTGTCAAACTTTACCTGTGTTGGGGATTTTGAGACAATTTTAAAATTAGTAGTAAAAAGAATTTTTTCTTCAATTTTTTATTGATTTATTTTTGACTGTTTGAAAACAACCCTACCTATTTTAAAAATTAATATTATGAATTCAAATATTAAAACAAAGATGTTATTGTTTGGGTTAATTTAAAGAAAACATCTCTTGTAACAACCAAATTAGACTTGATTCATTCATCCCCAGGATCCCATCTATTAATTAAATGAAAAGAAAGCTGTGTGAACTACATTTCACAAAAAAATATCTGCACTGTATAGGTCTATCCTAACCTTAATAAGGCTTTGTCACCATTAAACATGCTTGTAAATTCTCATCTGAATAAAAAAGGAAAATGTAAATGACCCATGATTAGAAACATTATTTTTTAATTTAATTACTTTACACAGTGCTGCTCTGAACTTTACCAATATCATTTCCACTTTAACATATTAAAAATAATATCGAAATTTCATTTGAAAAAAGTTTTTGTACTAAAGTTTAATGTTTTGGCTTTAAAAATGCATAATTATTATATTATTATCAAATACTAAAGGTATATTTAATTCATATATTATCAATCTATAAAATTTCATAGTAATACAGTAATTCTGTATATCATGTTTAGTAAACATCAATGATCAAAAGTTAATTAGAAGGTCACCATGAGTCCCAATCAATGTGTACAGGGTATACACAGGTACCAATTGCAATCAGTAACTGTCAATCAAGTTCCAGCACCCAATGATGGACCTTCATGCACTTGATTGACAGGGCTACACAGACCAGGTATTTTTGAAGGCGGTGCTTAAAATCTCTGCCTTTAAGCACATTTTTTTTAACAAACACTACCAAATTGCCCTTCCTTTCACTATACTGTAACAAGGGGACTTTCATTGACACATTTCAATGGTAAAAAGTTATATTTGGAAAAATGCTACGTGCTTGCATCATCATGTACACATCTACAAAACGCTTGATTGACTATACTGCAACAGTAGAGGGATCGGTCTTTCAATGAATTTCAATGGTAACAAGATGTGCTTGTGAAACATTATGCGCCCGGAGGCAACAAAGTTCGAAAAAACTATATATAGTATTTATGTCACATCAAGGTCACAAGGTCATTGACCTTAGTGTCATTTGAACGAACTTAATTAGTGGAATGCATACTAAATATGAAGTCTATATCTATGCACGCCAAATTCACAAAAATGAGATAATCATAGTTTCACAATTGATAAACTAGGTTTATCCCATGTTTAACCCTTTATCCCGTTGATATAACTCATGTGATATCGTTTTCATATCACACAGTTGTGACGTCACAATGGATTTTGCGTTAAAGTGATGAAGTAAAATGAAATGGAGTCCTATGTCATGTAAAAACAGTGTCAAACATTGTTCGTGGTGTAAAAAACATGGGATAAAAAGAATCTCACATGATTTGTAGTTGGATATGATTTTTATCCAACTCGTTGTGTGTTTTTATCCCCTCGCCAAGGCTCGGGGATAAAATCCACACAACTCGTTGGATAAAAATCATATCCAACTACAATATTTATCGTTTGTAAACTATAATTTACAAACCGTAAACTATAGTTAACAACGTTAATCTATATTTTACATCCGTAAACCATATTTAACGCGATAATCTATGTTTCACAGCCGTAAACTATACTTAACACCGAAAACAATCATTTGCGATTGCAAAACATAGATTATCTGATAAATACAGTTTCACGATTTGTAAACTATGGTTTACAACTCTTAACTATAGTTAACGATTGTAAACTATAGTTTACAAACGTGAATCTATGTTTATCAACAAAATCTATTGTTAACGCTTATTACAGACAGATAAATATGGTACGCCAAATTCACAAAAATGAGATAAACATAGTTTCACAGTCGATAAACTAGGTTTATCGGTTGTAAACTATAGTTTACGGACTGTAAACTATAGTTAACAACGTTAATCTATATTTTACATCCGTAAACCATAGTTAACGCGATAATCTATGTTTCACAACCGTAAACTATACTTAACACTAAAAACAATCATTTGCGATTGCAAAACATAGATTATCTGATAAATACAGTTTCACGATTTGTAAACTATAGTTTACAAACCGTTAACTATAGTTAACGATCTGATAAATATAGTTTCACGATTTGTGAAACTATGATTAACAAATCTTAACTATAGATATGTGAATCTATGTTTATCAACAAAATCTATTGTTAACGCTTATTACAGACGGATAAACTTAGATTATCATTCGTAAACTATAGTTAACAACCGTTAAATATAGTTTTACAGATGAAAACTATACTTAACGAATCGTTAACTATACTTAACGAATCGTTAACTATAGTTTACGGTTTGTAAACTATATAGTTTACAGTCGATAAACCTAGTTTATCAATTGTGAAACTAGGTTTATCTCATTTTTGTGAATTTAGCGTGCCATAGATAAACTTAGATTAGCATTCGTAAACTATAGTTAACAACCGTTAAATATAGTTTTACAGATGAAAACTATACTTAACGAATCGTTAACTATAGTTAACGGTTTGTAAACTATAGTTTACAGTCGATAAACCTAGTTTATCAATTGTGAAACTAGGTTTATCTCATTTTTGTGAATTTGGCGTGCCATAATGATGTGCTTGTGAAACACTGATGCCCCCGTATAGCAACATACCGAAGGTTAAATTTTCTCAAATTTATAAAAATCAAACATAATGATACCCAAAGTAAGGTCTTCTCACAAGAAATACAAATGCATGTGAAATATCAATAATATAAAGTAATTCAAACTCCAAGGTCAAGGTCAAAGCATCCAAAGCATTAGATTAACAAGATGTGTTTGTGAAACACTGATGCCCCCGTATAGCAACATACCGAAGGTTAAATTTTCTCAAATTTATAAAAATCAAACATAATGATACCCAAAGTAAGGTCTTCTCACAAGAAATACAAATGCATGTGAAATATCAATAATATAAAGTAAGTCAAACTCCAAGGTCAAGGGGTCAAAGTTCTTGGTATCCAATGAAGGGTCTTCTCACAAGGATTACATATGTGAAGTATGAAAGCCCTATCTTGTCAAAGTTATGGCCAAGGTTAAAGTTTTTTCACAAGTGCGGAAATGTCCAAGGTCAAGTTCAAAAGGTCAAGATTTTTGGTATCCAATGAAAAGTCCTTCCACAAAGAATACATATGTGAAGTATAAATGTCCTGGTATCTACTGTTCAATAGATATAGTCAATTTAATAGTTTGGAATTTTTGTGTAAAAGTGGGTCAAACTCCAAGTCAAGGCCAAAAGGTCAATTTTGAACGGTAAGGGCTAGGGCTTTCATACTTCACATATGTAATCCTTGTAAGTAGACCTTTCATTGGAAACCAACATCTCTTGACCTTGACCTCAGAGTTTGACCAACAAACCTTGACCATAACTTTTGAAGAACTCTAACCTTGGCCTTAATTTTTGAACGGTTAGGGCTATGGCTTTCATACTTGACAAATATTATCTTTGTGACAAAACCTTTTCTTAGAATCCAATTACTTTGACCCTTTGACCTTGACTCTGGAGTTTGACCCACCTTTCAAAAACTTATCCTTGGCCATAACTTTTGAACAGGTGGTGCAAGGACTTTCATATTTCAGAATTGTATTTCTTGTGAGAAGACCTTACTTTGGGTACAACATATTTAATTTTTTCATTTCTGTACTTGGTCAAGTAATCATTAAACAAGTTTGAAAAATTCTTCATCACAACCATTGTTTCAACTGCATTTCAAAGTTCAACTAAGAAGTCTTCTGTTGACCCTTGTGCTGGTCCAAATGATTAATATACCCTCAAACATTAAATCTACCCTGTGTCTAACAAGAGCATGTACAATTTATTGCAATGTACAAACACAAGTCTTACGAATTCCACGGGTATCAATTTTTGTGATAAATAATAAAAAGTAAAAGTCAGACATTGAGCATGACATGAGATGAATAGACAAAAAGACATTGTGATTCCTACATTACAGTGTATATCCCAAAACTAGCTACTGTAAACCAACTTTTATTCGGGTGTGAGAAATTTTCGCGAGATTCATTAGAGCCTCGTCATTTCGAATATCTCTCGCCGCGAACGGGTGCTTAAAGACTCTGTTTCTATTAACAACGGATTCAAAAAAGGATAGATCGTCAAAATAAATCATCACAAACTAGTTTCTTTCGGAAAATCGTGAGATAATGTTGTCGCGAATAAAAGTTGGTTTACAGTATTCTATTCATTGTACCTCTCCAACCTACCTTGATAAATTAATGCAATGACTTCAGAGGGTGTAACAAAGTTGTTTAAGGTGTTTGACAATCCTTACTATTGAAACCTGGTTTGTACATGTATATTTAAGTGAAATTAAAGGAAAGAAATTCATTCACCTCATGGATTTTTTTATTTTATTTATTGAATGTACCAAAATCAATAACAATGTTTCAGCCACTGCATTACAATGTCCTGATTTTGCAGACAGAGGTTGAATTAAGAATTTTCAAAAACTCCATTACCAATATTTTCTCTCCACAATGTTCCAGTAAAAGTAGAGTGATTTTTTTCTGTCTTATGCAGAGCACTGATAAAGCACTGTCAGACATTCAGTGACTGTAGTGCTCTTTCTCTGCTGCCTTTTCTTCAATGTCTCCTTCTGCACCACATTGATAACTCAAATCTGACCCGCAGATTTCAGTTAGTCTGATATCACACCCCTCCCGCTCCCCTCAGTAGATTATAGTCTGCGTACTGTAAATAAGTCACGACTGCTGACTTTGTGGAATAGGATCCCAGCAGCTCTGGAGAGGAAATTCCATCTGAACTGGAATAATGAAACTCGGTTTAACTAAAAATAACACAATACTAACCCTACATGTATAACATTTCATATTATTATCTTTTCCATAATTTTTTTTCTTTTCCTTTCAATCAAAGTTCAAAGTCAAAGAAAATTACAATTTACACTATTTTGAACTGATTAAGATGATTTTGAACATTTCTGCTACTGGTAGTAGACAAAAGCTGACTCACTGAGAGCTGCTGCTGGCCACCCCCCGTCTGAGATCCCAGACTTTGATGGTGCAGTCTAAACCTCCTGTAACCAATAAAAATAGGTAAAGTGTATAAAAAATAATATGTCACTCAGGGAAGCCTTCTCTCAGCAAGTGATTAATGTATCCTTATATATACAGTGTATGGAACTTCATACTACTTCTTGCAATGGCATATTTTAAAATATTCAATGAAATTTTCATATATGAACCCAAATATGGATTGATATTAAATCAGTCAATATCCTTGATCCATACAGAACTTTCAGAATTTTCATAGATTCATATAAAACATTTTCATGACCATTTCTTATTGTACTACACTTGTACTAGCCTTACCTGATGCTAACATGCTGCTGTCTTTGTTAAAGGTTAGGGAGTGTATTGTGTCAGTGTGGCCTTTCAGTTCTTTATATAGCTGTCCTGAACTCAAGTCCCACACTCTTATTCTTTTGTCTTCACCTACCGGAAAGATTTAAAATAGAAATTTTCAATTAGAAATTAAAAAAAAAAAACAAGCTTTAGACAAATTGGAGGCTATTTATATTTAACTGACAATTTAATAAAAGAAATAAATAGGAACATATTTCTGACAGTTAGGACTAGAACTTTTTTTATTCCTTTATTCTGGTACAAACTGCTCCTATAAACACGATCTTAGCCAGTACCTGCGGATGCAAGGAAGCTTCCGTTGGGTGAGAAGGCCACAGTCATGATGGATCCCCTGTGGCCGTGTAACAATCTAACTGCCTTCCCGTCTTGTAGTGTCCACAGCCGCACTGACCGGTCAGAAGAACCAGTGGCCAAATAATTACAGTTTGGGTGGAATTTCACACACTACAAAATGTAAGTGCACAAGTGCTATAAAATTCTCACTTTCTCACTTTAGATACATAGAAGTACTGAGGAATCATATTGGGGGGATATGTTCATGGATTTTGTTGGTTCAATGAAACATATGTATATTAGATTTACAAACAAAATATACTAGGGATGTCAACGAATAGTCGACTATTCGACTATCAGTTAAATGGACCGACGATCGAATAATGAAACGATATTCGAATATTAAATAAATGCAAGAAAAGGAAGTGATAAAGAACCTCTCATCTCAAAATTTGAAAAAGCGTCATTCCTCAAACCACTAACGTGTACGTCCTCGGACGAATAAGAGCTCAAACACAATAATTTTCCGCACTGTACATATGGAAAGTCCTGTAATTTCATACCGCGATAATTATTTCTTAATTACTGACCCTTTTTGTTATTGTTATAAATTATTTAGCGCTTGACTTTGAAAATTAATAACTGGACTTATACCAAAAATAAATTTATTTATTACTTGTAAGAATGTTCAAATGCTAGGAACACACCATAGCCGTAAAGTTTTGAAACTTCGATAATTATCAACACAATAATCTTAAAAAGTAAGAACATTTTGATAGCCAGGGTAATCATTAATTGAACAAGCAGTATTTAACCACAACATCACCTGTGTTTACCCCATCCCTTTTCCAATTTATTTTAATAAGCTTTAAAAACACCAAGCTGACAATTTTCTAAGCTTATTAGAATGAAAACTGACTTTACAGACCAACTTATGAATGTGATTTACGAGAATTCATACATTTTGGAGAATTGCTAGAGTAAATCTATTTCATTTCAACATTTAACCCTACTTTACATGTTTTAGGTTCCTCTGAATATGGGTGTGTAATACATTGTATAGGCATTTGATGTTACTTTTTATATAAATTTATGAAAAGGATTTTAGAATTATACATACGCTATCAATGAGATTTATTTTTAAAAAATTATTTCGAATAGTTGACTATCGTTCAGATAATGCAATCGAATGTTCGACTAAGGAAAATATATATTTTGACATCCCTAAAATATACCCAGGAAGCAGAAAATATCATGCCTGCCCATACATTTCATTTTGACCACAACAAAATAAAATGATTCCACAGTGATTACTTGAATTGAAACTACCTTTCACAGCAAATGTAACTTAAAAGTGAGGACTGAAAACATATACTCACATCTACATCTAGGTTATGTCCGGCGAATGTCCTCACTGGATAGATACGATCACTAACCCAGAGTTTGGCTGTACGGTCCTGTGAACAGCTGGCAAAGTAACCACCTATGCTACTACGAAAGAAATATCAACATTCACTGTCTTATCAATTTTGTACAAACTAGATGTGTTAGTGTGACATGAATATAAGACACTGATAAGCAAGTTTTCAATACCAGAAGTCCACAACTGCTAAAATATCAAGGGTGGAAATGAAAGAACAAGCACACTTAAGGATTGACAAGTAAATTTACCCGACATCTAGGTCCCACACTGGGGCATTGTGACCTCTGTAGCAGACCCTGTTAGTGTGTGTGTTTAGATCCCACAGGCGCACTGAGGAAGGAAATATAGGCAAAGAAATCAATTGTTTTACCTACATATCAAAATGTAGAACAAAGTCAATTTTCTCATCAGATATATTTCAAGTACAATTTCTCACTACCTGGTCCTTTTGAAATGAAATATTTGAAAAAGGCAAAAAATGTTTTAATATGATTTACAAATTTAAGGACATTCGATCCGGAGATTTTGAGCATATTTTGGTCAGGTCCTTTATTTATAAAATTCTGCATCATTTTTAAGTTCTAACATTAAATCTGAATTCTACAGTGCAAATTTAACTATATCCAATGAAAAAACCGCAATTAAATTTCCTTCAAGCAGAATTAAGCTAGGGACTATATTTTGTGGCGGAAGGTTTTTTAGACGAAAATGATCAGTTTTTCCATTTTGAACTATAACAGTACTGTTAATTTTGGATTCCTATTTTCCCATCCTGGTTGCACACAACGCTGTTTTTTGCAGTGAATTATGTTATACTGGTCCTGAAATATCTATTAAATTATTTCTTATGAATTCTATCAACAAAGTGTGACAAATATAGTAAATATGTTCTGAAAATCCGGGGGAAACTGAGCCAATTTTAACGTAAAATTGACACTTTTTTAGTAATATCTGAAAATTTACATCATATACCCCAACTTTTGATTATCTTTTCTAAATATTCAAGATAAATTTAACCTATTTGCTTAAAATCAGAAAAAAGTTTAAGACTTTAAAATAATTTTCTTGCTTATTAAATTTTCAATGCCAGAAAAATCACATTTTATTAGTGCAGAAAGGTCAAATAATTGATTATGCGAAGCAATTTAAAACTTTTTCTTAGTCACAATTTTTATTATAAGTGTCTTTTTTTAAACAAACTTAGAGTTCATTTTGTTTCATGCTTTAATTGGATAAAAATAATGGGAGGGAAAACGTCAAAAATGTCATTTTTAATTAAGACACAAATTTCAGTGCAAAGAGGTCATATTAAATGTATTGTAGCACCAAAAGAAGCGTATTGACCCCCATTTTTTGATTTGAATTTTAATTAAGCTATGTATGCAGAAACTAAAAATATACTTGGCAAAAAAAGTTTAAGACTTTAAATATTAGGATCGAACGTCGTTAAGCAAGGATAACTGCAGTCTAAATCAAATGAGTGGAAGTTTTACCAGTAGCGTCTTCTGAAGCAGACATCAGATACTTGGAGTCATGAGAGAAGCAGGTCTTGTACACTGTCCCGCTGTGTGCCCTCAAGGTCACCGTCTCAGTGTACCGGGGTTTACTGAAAAATCAATCATTTACTGTATTTACTTATCAAACACATAATTTTGAAGCATTATCTGACTTTATTTCTCTCTTAAACTTTTTATTCCTTTTCACTTAGTACAGATATGAAACAAATGAACTACATTATGGCTATTATTTAGTCCCAATGGCAGTTTAAATTCCCAATTGGAGCATAAAATTTAGTGACAAGTCAACAAAATTGTGAAAATTTTTAAATTGATCTGAGGATCAACAATGTTTAGATCTATGAGCTTTTCACTGAATATTTCAAAACTTTAGTTAATGCATTCTTTTGATTCAAATATAAACATGCACAAATGACTTATTTTCTTCATTTCTCAGTTTCTTTTACTCAATTAAATTAACAAATAGACAAAAGACAATGACTGGTAAAACAGTTTTATAGAGTTGGTACCTGTAAGAATAGGCAAGCTCCTAAAATTTGTAATGGGGACTAAATTTTTAGGACCTGGAGTCACTGGAGGTTTGTTATTGGGGGTATGAGGCCTTATTTACAGTTACTCAGAAATACAACTCTAATATTGAAAATTAAATGTAAAAACTACACACATTTTTAATATTTTCCAAAATTAAATTTTTATGACAAAGCTAATTTAACATATAGATATATCTTAATTTATTTTCACTCCTGTTTTAACAGATATTTCTGATGCATAAAAAGTATGAATGAAATAGTAGGAACTCTATACTCTATTACACAATGCACTCCAATTTGTCTAAAACAGTCTAAGGGTCAGCAATACAAAAACACTCTAAGGAAACAACCAGTATGTCAAATTATGTCGTTAATTAAGACGAAAAGAGCTCAAAGCCTAATACTGTAGATCACTAAATTTTCGTGACACCTTATTTTTGCGAGATAGCCATTGACTCTTTATTAGCGAGACATAATTTTCACGTATTGAAAATTTTCTTTTATATAATCGTAAGGAATACTTTTAAAACGCAAGAATGAAATTTTCGCGAGCTCATTGTCTCGCATAATTACGCGAAAATTAAGTTCTTGCGAATAAAACGTGATTTACAGTACATAAGGAATATCAGCTATGATGACAGCATGCTATCAATACAGATTTACCATTCCTCCATGATGTCCACATTCCAGTAGTCGGCTGCTATGTACAGTTTACAGGGATCCACTGTTTGAGGGGTGGATTGGAGAAGACTGGGGGTGGTGCTCCACAACTTGATGGAAGAGTCCTCAAATCCTGCACTCAGTAAAGTCTTATCTGGGGAGATGTCAACTGTACACAACCTGAAAAGTCCAGTTATTATTATTGTCAAAATCTGTTAGGAAACACATCTGGTGTATCAAACATTTTATGCAATATATATATATAGTTTCAACTTTTTTACATAAAATATCTGGAGAAAAATTCAAACATCTTAGGTTCCTTTAAAATTGAGAAATTAAGTAACTTTAAAAAAAAAGTAACAACAGCATTGTTTGCAAAAACTTTCAACAAGCAATATGTATATCAAAATAAATCCTAATTTTTACTTCCTACATTTATACCACTCACCCTTGATAAGCATTAATAAATGTGTAGAAACAGATGGAGGGTAGACATGGTGGCCCCTCCCTCACTTGTTTGATTGACAGCTGTAATGTCGCTAGGGCCTCTATATCCTCTGGATCGTCCTTTATCTCTTTAGATTCCTCCTTGGGTACATTCAGTCCCTCACTCAGTTCTAGTCTCCCTTTTGTCTCCTCCTCAACTTTGTATCATAGCATAAATTATGACATATACAAACTGTGCTGGATAAGATTAGTGTATGGTGAAAACAATATTGAATCTATGAAATACTTCTATTAAAGGGAGTAGTTTTGTAAAATGTGTAAAATAAATTTCTGTATGAGATTTTACACCTTGCAAAACTCATTATTTCCAATTGCAAAGGTTAACAATTTCTGATGAATATTAATTCAGGTATCAGAGAAATTTTTAAAAAATATTTCATATAATATGGTAGTTCAACTAAAACATTATATGATTACACATTTATTTTCAATTCAAATCATCTTGTTAAAAGGCTTATATTACATGTACCTGTATTTTCCAGTTTAACATTTTGATTAAAAATCTGAAATATTGTGCCGTTGTCTTCATGCTGCAACAGAAAATATAATGAGAATGCCGAGAATAATTCAGTACATTCAGTAATTTATATGCATCAATACATGCTTGTAATCCATTTGTCCTACCTTCAGATGTCTCAGCAGATACTCCAAGGCTCCTTCAGATAACCTGATCTTAAATTTATTCTCTCTAAAATACAAAACAATGGAGGGGTCATTTCTAGTCTCAAGAAATAGTTCTGGTTGAGGGGAACATCCTTAAGGTTTATTGACAATGGAACTTTTGAAACAGGAATTAGCTCTGACAATTGATGGCAAACTGATATAAAAGTATTTAAAAATCTTAAGAATGGATTAACTGGGAATTAGCTCAGTTGACTAACACATGGTAACGCAGGGATTAGTCATTTCACAGCATCTTTTAAATATCTAATCTATTAACACTACCATTGTTACAGTAACCAATCACATCAAAGAAGGCCTCTACATGTACCTGAAATCTGTGGCCTCTAGACAGCCCATGACATCAGTACTGTTGTACAGCTTGTGTATTGACTCCAGGGTCTGGCTATAGGACTTCTCATTGTCAAACAACTTCACATGCTTACTGTAGAATCTATGTGCTGTTTTCAAGGACAAAACATTTTATTTTAAATATTTCCCTTTCAAAGGTGCATTTTTATTTTATATTTCCTAATGTTTTATTCTTTTTCTCTTCATATAGACAATGTACATGTACACTGAAAGACAAAATAATCCAGCCTTGGCTATGGAAATTAAAAGGTCAACATTTTATTTTGAAATTTACATACCTGGAGTCTTGTGACCATTACACAGTTGGTCTAGGTACAGATGAACAAAAACAGGATAAAGTAAGGGCTGAAGCTGACTTTTATATGGTTCACTTCCTCTGTTTATGTACGATTTCAACCTAAGGAAAACATACACAGTAGGCTTTGATAAAATTTCTGTAGATATCTAACCCCCCCCCCCAAAAAAAAAAAGATATACAAATATTCATAAGTATAACCTTAAATCTTGAAGGCAAGGGAACACAAAGAATCAACATAGAAATAAACAACAATATAAAAGCAACACTAATAGAAGAGTGGTTGTTTACAAATGTATGTATCAAGGTTCACACAAAAGAACAGATAAGTTATACCTGGAGAACTGTTCATCACAGGCACTAGCATCCCCACTGAAGCTACTGAAAGTCAGAAGATTGTCCACAGTTACCTCCCCATTACTAGCATTCTTCACAGCCATATCACTGATATTCTGCACCCATTTAAATTCCTTTTTCTGAGAAGTTTCATTTTCCTTCAAAAATTTGAAGATAAATTTATTATTGTTTAATAACCGGTGGGAAATAGATACAGCAAAGTCAAACAGTTTTTTATTATTAACAAAGATGAAGTAAAAAAAAAAAGGAAGACAAATTTCATCTGACTTATGGAATTCCACAGATGACAGCCAATATTAACTGATAATTGCGGCCACGTTCATAGATGACATTCCTTACTAATTATCTTATAACATGTTGCAAAGAATAAAATGTGCTATAATATAATTGTTTCTTCAAGCATGCATATTAAAGAAAAATTGTGATTTAACAAACATAGCTAATGTTACCCAGCAATAGATTCCCCCTCATAAAAATAAGGAAATGATATCTTAGAAATACTATAATTATAATCAGACTTTTTTGAACTGCTTACATTGCCAGGAATTGTCCAAAAACTGTCTCTTCCTAGGTAGGAATGGCTTCCTAGGTAAATAAATAACTTTTTCCTCCTACTCAAGATAGCTATTTTTACCTACCTTTTGCAATACTTGCATTTGCATGACACAATATGACAAATACCAGGTTTCTTGATAAACACTGGTGATACATCACACTGATGATGAATTTGTTTGGTTAGACAAAAAAAAAAGAGAAGAGATTACTGTCTGTTTTCAATTTTGCTACACCCAGTACCAGTTTCTGGGAGTTGAGGATTAAAGTCGAGTGGCAAGGACCCTAGAATGTCTAACAAATCTTTATCAATCTTAAAAGTTATTCTTCATGCACTCCTGGGTAAATACATATAGTTTTTGGGATATTTTGATGTATTCTCCACATCAGAATGTTTACAAAGAACTATATGCGGTAAATTGCACATTTTTGCCCCCACAAAAGGCAAATATTGAAAATTTCTTTAAATGTGCTGAATTGTATATATTGTATGAGGAATCTAAACAAACAAAAAATATTATAATTTCAAAGAAGGTTGATGACAATTTTTGTTTTTGTGACTTTACAAACTATTCAGATTTCGTATTGTTTTTCAGAAAGAGGACAAAAGAACTTTATTCGGTAATAACCCATATTTGCCCCCCCAAATCAAATTTGATGGAGGTATATTTGATTAAGTTCTTAAACAGGGGAATATATGCTGACTTCAAAGCACTGAATATTTTCATAAGTAATGACGCTATATGTACGTAATGATGTCACAAACATGACGTAAATTTCAGTATTTTATGAATTTTACAGAAAAATGTACATATTTCGTCAATATTTTGAGTAAAAGTCACCGAGCGCATGTGTGTTCAGGATCAATATTTTGATATAATGTGTAGAATGATAATATCAATGAAATATGTCAATATTCTTCCTGAAGAAACTTGCGCTCTATAGATTTTAAAGCTAAAATTGTTGAAATTTTGTCCATTTTATCCTCTTTCTGAAAAAGGATATAAAATCGGACTAGTTTGTGACGTCATAAAAACAAAAATTTTGAATACCCTGCTTTGACACTATAATATTTTCTGTTAATCTGTATTTCTCATGCAATTTATTGAATTCAGCACATTTCAGGAAGTTTTCAAAATTTGACTTTTGTGGGGGCAAATATATGCAATATACCGCACATAGTTCTTTGCTCAATTTTTACTGTAAAATTTAAAGAGCACAGTCCTGCTCCAGAACAATGTTTAATATTTCATTGATATCATTATTTACACATTATATCAAAATCAGTGATCTTTAATCAAAATATAGATGTAATATATACCTTTTTCTGTAGAAATCATGGAAATTTTAAATAAGTGTTATTTTCCTGACATCATATCAAACATTTGACATAATGGCTTGTGGAAATATTCAGTGCTTTGAAGTCTGCAGATATCCCCCTGTTTTAGAACATTACACATTTATCTACTAAGTTCGAGGGCAACATGTGTCTTGTCAGACCCAAGAACTAAACTGTCTGCCTGAGGCCAGGCCAAAGGCAGACAGTTTGGTTCGAGGGTCCGACAAAAAGCATGTTGCCCATTCTTGACGTAAACGGTCCAACATTTCACCGACCGGTCCAACATCTCACTCAGTGGTCAACCATTGATTTTTTATGCCCGCTCAGCAAAACATTAGAAATGTTAGACTTTTATGTATAGGAACAAATTTTTAAAGGTATAACAAAATTATATATTTCTCCGTCAAAGCCCCCCGCCCCTTTTGAACAAGTACACAGCACAACATGATAATAAACACCAAGTCTGACCAGGGACCTATATACTACTTAGTATATAGGTCCCTGCATGGTCTGACGTCCTATTAACACCTTCATTATTACTTATCTATTTACTTCTATTTAAAAAAATTCATTTATATTCAAAACTATGTAAAAGTATGTTGAGGTAGCTACATTAAGTAGGTTTAAAAGGCCATGTAGATAAAAGTATAAACAGCTACTTCTAGGTAGAAAAACAGTTTTTGGACTAGACCTGATTGCTGCAAAAACTGAATTGTCCATTCCGTTCGTAACAGCAGCTTGCGACACTTACTAAATACTGCCTCCTTTTCAAATAGTGATGAACAGAAACATTTATCTGTTCATGTCTTACTCTCTTCATCACGTTTGCTACATTCTTCCCATGATTTCCAGAATTTCTGACAGAGGAAAGTCGAACTCGAATAATAATATCAGAATTTCGAACCCGATCTAAAACGTGGTCGAAGAATGGAATATAAAAAGCAGAAAACATGAAGTATTTTAAAATGCATAAAATAGTTAATTTTGGCATTTAGCTAATATCAAATAATTTTAAAAGTGCAAAATTTAACGGGGGGGTTACGTTAACATTAATATATTGTGTATAATATAATTTTTCTAATCAGTTTATTAGTCTAAAATTATAATGATTCAATTCATCTCGTATTTTCCATAAACATAATTATGCTCCAAATGTCTAAATAAAGTTTCTGCAGGAAGAAAATTAATTTGTTTTCATTGATTCATGTTTTGTTTATTTGAACCATGCGTATCAGCATATGGAGAGATCTTATACCCAGTGTAATTTTCATTGCTACATATACAAAATTGAAGTATTTTTTGTATAGTTTAGTAAATTTAAATTGGATAGGGCAAAATATTCAATTTTCATCCAGGGGCGTAGTATCCGGGGGGGCCAGGGGGGGCCTGGCCCCCCCACTTTTTTTCCCAAACTTACTTACACTATAGGAAATGTTAATTCAAAGCCTGTTTGGCCCCTCCACTTTTAGAAATGTACGGAAAATGTAGTATAAGAATTGGTACTAAAAGTAGTTGACACTGAGAAAAAGTTTACCTACCCCCCCCCCCCCCCCCCCCCCCCCCCCCCCCCACGAAATAGGATTTTCGACTGTGGGCTACTTTTACCTTTTTTTTTTTTTTTTTTTTTGCTTGTCAACTTTTTCAGGTAAGTAAAAAAAAAATTCTGTGCCTGGCCCCCCCCCCCACTTTCAAAAACGATGCTACGCCACTGTCATCTCGTAAGATTTCCATTGGGCATGATGGAACGCCAACACTGCCTTATAGCATGCAACTATGCATTTATTATGTCAATTTATCATTACGTGATGTGAACATATCTTTACGTTATGTCAATTCTTTATGAGATTATGTAAAAATATCTTTACATCATGTCAATGCTGCATTACATGAAGTAAATACATCCTTTCATTATGTCAGCACTTCATAACTTGAAGTCGAAAATTCATTATGTGAAGCGGTAATGTGTTTACATTGTGTTAAAACTTTATTACGTGAAATGAATGTTTCTTTACATCATTTCATTTCTTTAATATGATAGGTCAAAATTGCATTACGTCAAGTGAATTGTGTTTTATAATTAAACTTATCATTACATGAAGTCAAAAATCCATTCCTTTTCGAGAGTGTATATTTTTATTATATCAAAGCATTATTACATGATATGGGTTTATCTTTATTTTACGGCGAGAGCATCATGATGTGAGGTGAACACATCTTACCTTTATGTCAGTGCTTTATTACGTGGTGTAAAAAGTGTATGACAGTATGTGAACATATCTTTATATTATATCAATACTTTATTACATTATGTCAAAACTCAATTCCGTGATGTGGATATATAATTACGTTATGTCAACTCTTTCTTATGTGATCATAAAATATCTTTATATTGTGTTAACTCTTTATCATGTTGATTCCAAAAGTGCATTACCTGATGTAAAAATACATTTACATTATCTCAAAGCTGTATATCTGGTATAAAATGAATGTTCACGACCGTGTTTTTATGACTGGTAAGAGGGGGGGGGGTCCTGATTGATACGGAAGAATTAGAGGCACAAAATATCAACCCCCCTCTTTTCCCAAACATAACTTTACAATAGAAAATGTAATGTTCATTGAAAGTACAGCCCCCACCCCCACTTTTTGTTGAAGTATAGTCCGATGAGGGTAATGTAGTATATCTGACAAAAAAATTAGGACTGATCGAAGTTGGACCCCCCTCCCCGAAATAGGATTTTCGGGCTTGGAGTAGACAATTTTTTTTTTTGACTTCTAAATTTTTTTTTTCGGGCGAATATTATTTTTCTGGCTACCCCCCCCCCCCATTCCTTTCGAAAAAGATGATACGTCACGCACTGGAATTAGTAATTTTTTCAACTATTCCAGGGCCAGATTTCTATTACAAAAAATCTACCAATCCCTCATCTAAATCAATTGAATGTGCCTTAGTAAGCATGCATGAACACATATCAGTAGCGGATATGAGAATCTTCAACAAAAAAAAAAAATGTCCAAGCCTGAAGGGGGACGATTTATGGTTGGAGACCAAGGGGGGAAGCAGAGAAGCTCTCAGGCTTTATAGTTTTATAAAAAAAAGTTTTCAACTTAATTCAGCGAAACTTAATGTGAAACTAATGCAATGTCCTACAAAGTAAAACCAATAAATTTATTAATTTTTTGTACATGTAGATTTTGGTCACTAAAGATGGTAGGGCGGGATTTCCCCCTCCCCCTAACCCACCATTGCACGTGTGTTATACGATGTGTTTACACTTTAAAAAAAAAGGAAAGTTCAAGACTGATAAAAAAAAATTATGACAATGTTCTTAGAAAGATCAGAAGTTTAAGACTTTTATCCAAAAAACAAAAACAAAAAACAAAAACAAATAAACAAACAACAATTCAAAATAAAAAGAAAAAAAATTGCTGCACGACTCATAATATTTGATTTATTTAATTATCAAATTAAAGTAAACGCCATTGAATTTCGACGTGACTTTAATTCACAGTCGCAGTGTTAAGGCTTTGCACGTTTCAAGATTGTCAATCCTTTGTCGCTTAAAATTTTTATTTAAAGATGTCATTCCCAAATCGCTGAGATTTCTTCTACGGCAATTTTCTCTCCCGCCAATTTTAGTGCTCTCGGAACGCGGAAAATACAATCGGAATTCCTCGGATGACTCGTATCTCGCACATATGTATAACGTTTGAATGGAGCGTAGCGGAGTCAGCCGAGGATTGCCGATTGCGGAAAATACGGTATGCTCATATAAAGGCCGAGGATACCCGTGTTCGCATAACGTAATAGTGAATCGACATAATGTAGTAGTGTGAGTTTCATAAAGTGTTGACATAATGTAAAGGAAGGTTTACACGATGCAATAGTAGTGTGGGATAATATCATAAAGAATCGACACAACATAATGGAAGGTTGACACAATGCAGTAGTAGTGTGGGTTAATGTCATAAAGAGTTGACATAATATAATGGAAGGTTGACACAACGCAATAGTAGTGTGAGTAAATGTCATAAAGAGTTGACATAATGTAATGGAAGGTTGACACAATAAAATAATAGTGGGAGTAAATGTCATAAAGAGTTGACATATTAATGAAACCGAAGGTTGACACAATGTAATAGTAGTGTGAGTAACTGTCATATGGAGTTGACATTATGTATAGGAAAGTTCACACAATGCAAAAGTAGTGTGAGCAAATGTCATAAAGAGTTGACATAATGTAAAGGAAAGTTCACACAATGCTATAGTAGTATGAGTTAATATCATGTAGAGTTGACATAATGTAATAGAAGGTTAACACAATGTAATAGTTGTGTGAGTAACTGTCATATGGAGTTGACATAATGTAATTGAAGGTTGACGCAGTGCAATTGTTGTGTTCTGCTATAAGGCAGTGACGGCGTTCCATAGGCATGCATGTGAGTAACATGATAAACCCAGACAATAATTATTTTTTAAAAAGTCATCCGCTATTCAGTTATACATGTACCTGTAACCTGTTTAAGGACCTTAAAGAATCTGATGTCCAGAACAATAATTCATCTCAGAATTCCAGTTCTTGTTGAAAAAATCATTTAAAAAAAAAGAAGAAATTAATAGTCTTTAATCAATTTGACATTAAATGTACATTTAATCGCGACTGGCAGTAATTCTGTATATGTGCAAGTCAAAGGAACATAAGTAGAGTTGTTTAACTTGAGTAAGAATTGACTTCATTGATGCAAAGTTTGAATCCTATGATCAGACAGAGTCAAAAATTGTATAAAAGAGTCATCTTTGAAGAGTGGTGGTGGGCAAATAAATCCCTCCCTTGTACAAGTAGGGAACAAGTAGGGAACTTGTGCTTCTGTGATAAACAGATCTGAATTACAATGTAGACTTCTGTTTTGAATTGCATTGCAATGTGTTGTAATGTTCTTAAAAATGGGAATTCTCTCGCAATATCTTCCGATCAGGTATCCTGTAAATGAGTTTTCAACAAAGCGACAATTGCAGAACAGGACAAACCAAGAAAAGGACCTCAAATTGAAATGAAATCCGCATAGTTTGATCATTTAATCAAAATCAGTTACCCATAATCACAGATGTTAAATTGAAAAACCACTGATGCAGGTACATGTATATTCTTGATTTGCAAATGACCTATCTAGAACACAAAATGAAAAACATTGCGGAAAGATGAATACAAAATTATCGGGCTGGTAATACATAATGTATTTTGACAACCTTGTTCATATTCATTATGCACTGAATTTATATCAGATCTAAGTATTAACAATTTAGCAAATTGATAAGGAAATTTGCAGCCCTTTCTTCGATCTCGTTAATACGGAAGCGTATTAATTAGTGCCATGCAATATCTTTTTAAGTTGGTAATTCCAACTTTTAAGTTGGAAATTCCAACTTTAATCTTTTTAATTCCAACTTTAATCTTGGCTTTTCCAACTTTAAAGTTGGTAATTCCAACTTTATTCTTGGCTTTTCCGACTTATTTTGGGGCCCCCCCCTTTTTTTTAGTTTCCTCCTTTATTTTAAACCATTGACAACTTTATTAATGTCAATGTAATATAATGGAATAGACTGGTTATCAATAAATTTTCGCAACCTAGATGAGGAGGGGTTGTGGGTTGTGGGTTGTAGAGAGAGATTCTTTAAGAATGGCGGACGGGGCTATAGGGAATAATGGTATAAAACTTGAATAATGCTTAATAAATTTAATATATACAAGAACATTGAAATAAATTGGTGAGCACTTTTTATCTGTGTCAGTTTATTTTTACCCTGACCTGCTATAACCTTCCAACTTTTAATTAGAAATCCGTATATTCTTTTGGTCCTGTAATATAATTACGAGTTCAGTGTCAAATTTCTATTAATTAAAA